AAAAATTAAAAAGAATAGCTAAAAATAACAATTATATTCTTGTGATGTACTTACTGTTTGGAAACTTTGGTGGAGTAATGAATGTTACTGGAGTTTTTTCCCAACACCAAACCGATCAAACTTAGTTTGATCTTCCTCTTGAAGATGATCACTTGGTGATCGAAACACGTGTCGAGGTGTTAAAATAACGGTTTGGTGTTGGGAAAAAAACTCCAGTAACATTCAACAATTATATTAAGCAAAACAATTCTGAAATTGAATTACAGTAATGACAGTTATTATCCGAAGATAAATTTTTATTTTTTATTTTTTGTTTAATGGTTCTATTTTTTTACTCGTATTTTATTTCACTGTAATTTCGTTTCAGGGTTTTTTTGCTTGGTATAATTGCTATTTTCAGCTATTCGTTTTAATTTTTTCATTTGTATCAGTTCTTTTAGGGATTTCAAATAATTTTATATAATATTAGACAATGGAAGTCCGAACTAATGAAATTCATCATGAAACATCGTCAATCACCTTCAAACAAACATACTTTGTGTTTTGAATTGCTTCTTTTTCCTTTTTGAACAACGTTACAATCGTTAGATTTTCTATATTCGTTTCAAAGGTTAAGACCAGATTATTGAAAAACATCATTTTAAATTGAAATCAAATAAGATTTGTATATATTAAATGCATTATTCTCATGCATAAATATATTCAAAGCTTTCTTGTTATCGTTCATAATACAAACCCATAAAAAAGACAAATATATGTTTGGATAAAATAACTGAATTTAACTAATTGTTTGGTACAGAGGAATTTCCCCTAAAGATCCCCATGTGCAAAAATAATGATTAATGAATATGGCATGCTTAGAGAGAAAAGTGCTATTTACCTTCTGCCGTTACAGGACGAGCAAAAAAAATACAAGGTAGATTAGACAACAATAGATAACAATAAAATACTTCAACAGAACTGCATACATTTAGCACTACGACATTTATGCAGGTTAAAAAAAATGAAAACAATACTATTATTGATTCCGGATCAGAATTTTTTTGAATCTGCATATGTATAGAGACTCCAAAATGTGTCAGTAACGGCCAAAATGCGCAGATATGTGTTTGTCAAATTTAGAGATAACTGCCAGATGGTATGTTCAAACCTATTACTGACACAGATCGGAAATGATTTTTTAAAATCGTTGAACGAATAGTCTGACTGAAATCTCACCAATTTCTTTTCCATTTTTGCTTTAATATCCCTAGCTAAAGTAAAGAATGCGTCTTCCACTCGAATGCTTGCTTTCGCGCTTGTTTCTATAAATTTAATACCATATTCGATTGCGAGCTGTTCCCCCCTTTCCTTGGACACCTGTCGTTTTTCTTCTAACTCGCATTTATTTCCCAACAACATTTTTTCTACATCTGCCGAAGCATTTTCCTCGATATTTCTTATCCAGTTTTTGATGTTCTCAAAACTTTTTTCATTGGTTATGTCATAAACGAGCATTATACCCATTGCACCTCGATAGTAGGCAGTAGTTATGGTTCTGAATCGCTCTTGGCCTGCTGTATCCCTAGAAAAACAGAACGATGAAATATTTTACATTATCATCATTCCATTCTCGTTTTTTTTAATGAGCTATTAAACTTTTTCCACTGAGAGTTTCTTACCATATTTGTAATTTAATTTTTTTTCCGTCCAAGTCTATAGTCCTTATTTTAAAATCAATACCTGAAACAAATCGGTAGCATTTTTATTAGCATATATTTAGTTTGAAAAATCCAAATTAAATAGTTATTTTTCATTTTGTATAACTGAAAATTCATACAAAATTCATTGAATATTCTGGAAATATCTTGAATTTATTGGAGCCTCTGGAGACACTCTACATTTTGTTCTATGAAAGAGAGGATATTGGCAAATCAAGATCTTCCGGGTTTTCTTACAGCTGAAAAACCAAATGCACCACTGGAATCAATCAAGTCGCCCAGGAGCGCCAATTAATTTTTGTTGTTGTTTCCTAATTTCATAATTTGTATTAATTTTTTTTCTTATGTTTTTATTGAACAATTTTGGACCTAAAAAAAATCCATCCATCTTGATGGATTTTGAATAATTTTGAAATACTGATAGCTAGAAAAAGAGATATTGTTTTGCTAAATTCCAAAGTTAACAAAGTTCTTTAATGGCTTATTCATACATCAAACTTTTACTCATACTTAAAGAAATATGTCACAACAGTACTTTTAATGATTTCATCATTTCTTATATGAAGAATAATGATTTTCATTCTTTTCAGCTGAAGAGTAAGTCATTTTTCATATTATTGAATTTCATACTTATGTCAATAATCATCTACTCATTGAGATTGTGTCCATTCATATTTTTTTATAAAAACAAAAAATCAGATGAAACAGAGGGTGAATATTAACGATACTTTTTCTGAGACTTTTTCAAACAAAACCATGAATAAATTTGGGTGAGTTAGTTTGATATCACAAAGTGATGGTTGGAAAGTAATTTTAAAGACCATTTCCTGCCATCTATTTAATAAAATGAAGAGTAGTTCTAGGGTGAATTATTGGTAGTACATTGTACAAGTATGGATGATTATCATCCAACCTAAAAAAAGGATAAATAAATCAATAAAAAACAATTTTATTGATCAATGAAATGAATGAGGAAAATTCTTCTCTAAGTTGTCATATTTGTAAAAACCTCTTTACTGCTGAAATATCTATGAAGTCAGAGGTCAAGGTGAAGAACAAGGACAGGTAAAAAGGTGTTATTTTATCAACAAATGATGAAAACTAAAAAATGTCTGAAAATTTTGTGGTAGCTAATTAGTCAGTGAGAAATAAACACGTACAGTAACATATACACATCAACCAACAGTTTGAAAATAAATCCAATGACAAACATAAACAATTTATGACACAATAATTATTTTGTTTAGGTCACCAAATTCACAATTGCTCAGCTCCTACTCATTAGAATTTTCAAAGAATTCCATTTGTATACTAGAGAGTAATTAAATTACATTACATTTAATTGAAACTGGGAATAATTAATCATTTATTTAGTACAATTTTCTTTATTAGGTGTGGTTGAAAAGCTACTTTGGCCTAACCTATCGAGATAATAACTCCCATTGTATATTTCACATCATCCGAGACAATCTAAGTCTGAAGATGAACGAATTCTTCAAGTTTAGCCTTCAATTCAATTGCCCGAAGGTCTACAGGTTGATACATATATATCAAAATACTGTGCATTCTGACTCACCTATTGTCGAAATAAAGGTTGTATTGAAAGCGTCTTCGGAAAATCTGAAAAGAACACAAGTTTTTCCAACGCCCGAATCACCAATTAACAACAACTTGAATAAATAATCGTATGTTTTTGCCATGATTTGCCACAAAACACTTTTTGATTCTTCAACCCGGCCACTTTTTAATACTTCAGAGCTCGACGAACTCGACTTCCTTTTCTACATCTATAAATATCACTAGAAATTTTTTATCAAAAAACTAAAATCCCTGCATAATCTACACGTTTGCGAACGGATGGTTGCCTATCTTCTGGCGACAAATTGACAAGATCCTTTGTTTATCGAGGTAAATTCTCGCGAGACTACTCCTATACCAATCACGGTTAATACGGACTATGACGCAAAATGAAACCAGTTACCGTAGTTTGATTGAAGACAATGTAATTATTAAAAAGACAGTTATAATTTTGACTTTTTGACTTATTCAGACATAGAGTTACAAATACACATGACAGTGGAATGGACAAAACTTTCGAAACAACTTATAGGTACATATTTTGTAGCCAAAAACAACGAGATGTACCTATCTCAGTTCATATCAAGGGAGCTACGTTTTGACATACTTTATCCCCCTATCTTCCAGAGCCACCTCAGGTTTTTCAATAGGAAAATGGTCGATACTTTGAATAAAAGGTATTTTCATTCTATGTATGGCGTTATTTTCGTTTTGCTTTCAGGATAGGTACTCGAGAAACAAGGATTGAATAAGTTGTTCAGAATTTAAACTTTATTCTGCTTTGTACTTTCATTTATCAAAAACTATCACTTACTTTGCTATACCCCTCTGTCATATTAGTAGGAGAAATACCAGCCTCCTTCAAAGAATCAATTACAGTACCAATTTTTAAGTCTGGGGATAAAAAACTTGTAACTAATTATAGACCTATAACACTCATAAACAATTTTGCAAAACTTTTGGAAAAATGTTTAAAAAAAGGGTGGTGCATTTCTTAGAAAATAATATTTTTTTTCTCAACGTCAATTTGGTTTCAGAGAAAGCGGGTTCACTGAAAAAGCCATCTTTGAAGTAGTTAATTTAGTCAAAAATTCTTTTCAAAATCAAGACAAAACTATCACTGTTTTTTTAGATTTAGCTAAGGCCTTTGACACGGTGGATCACAATATATACTTCTTCAGCGTTTACATGATTCGGGTATAAGAGGAGTAGCGTTAAATATCTTTGAGGATTATTTGTCTAATAGGATTCAGAGAGTTGAAATAAATGATTCAATTAGTGAACCTATATTAATAACCAGGGGCGTACCTCAAGGAACGGTGCTTGGCCCTATCTTATTTATAATATACATAAATAATATTTTTTCAGTGAGGGACTTCGAAGGTAATATAACTTCTGTTGCGGATGATACAGCATTAACTTTTGTCGAGAAGACATGGGAATAAGCTCATGAAATTTTCCACTGGCTAAGTAATAATTTATTGAGTGTCAACGTGAAAAAAACTAAATTTATTGCATTCCCCTCAACAAAGTAGGATCATCCCACTATTACAGAGATTAAAATCCATAAACTTACTTGCCAAAACGATAGACTCCCTTGCACTTGTCCCTTCATAGAAAAAACTGATACAATAAAATACTTAGGGGTCCTAGTGAATCAGTCCCTTCGTTGGCATGATAATATTGACTATACGGTGAAAATATTCCGTAAGATCACTTACAAATTTTATCAAATCAGAAGTATAGTCAGTAGAAAGATGGTGCTAACTGTATATATGATGCCCTGGCCGAGTCCATTTTACAGTGTTGTCTAATAATAAGGGGAGGAATATTCAAATCTTCCTTACATAATTTAGAAATGATCCAAAACTCACTCATAAAAATTATGTTCAGAAAGAATAAATGCTATAATACTCAAGCATCATATGAAGAGAGTGGAATATATAGTGTAAGAAAACTGTATACTTTCCGTTGTATATTATGGACAGTGTTACGAGTACATTCGTTCAGAATAGCAATCATCAATTACAACTACCACAGATTGGAAACAATACTGGATAGTTGACAAATTCACCATACTGCAGTCACTCAATACAATGTCACAAGCTGTTGTTTCTGTATCTGCTTTCGTATTTGATGCTCTTAATATGATAAAAGACTGCTCATCATTTTGGTCGTCATTCTAGGACTTCCCAGAACTAATTGGTACCTAGGTTTATCTTAGTTTGTACATGTATTGGATTCGTGGCTGTAACACAAGCTTGGCTTAGATAGCCACGATTCATCATAGATGTAATTTATAGTTCTGTAAAATAAGTTGTAAATGTTTATATTTTATATTAATCTGTATTGAATAAATTTTGATTTGATTTGATGAAAATGTAACGTAGTTAATAAACTATTATATTTGTATTCAGTTTTGTTTTGTAGTTTCCACATATTCTTTTTAATAAACATAAAAGCACAATAGAAAAATTTCTACAACTCTCCATCAGTTTATAATTGATATTCAGGTTCAATATGTTGATTTAGGAAGTACGTACTAGCAATGGTTTATACATTGAAAAGACAGAGTTGACTTGGGGGATTTGTTTTAAGACAATAAAAGTTTACCAGGTCTGATGAAAAAGTTTCAGCAGATACGGTTAGTAGCAAAAAATCTTGAAGTTCGGTTCGCAAAGATGAGTGACGTGGTTCAAATTATTGAGCGCTCCATAGACGCTCAATATTATTGCACAGTATTGGAGGTCGTGCAATAATATTGATTTTGTGTTTCCGGTGGTGAAAGGTTATATACTTAATGTTTTATACGAAATCAACTCGTTTTGAAATATATTCCACAATCTGGGAAATATTGTGCTGTCTGACGACAATATTGTGCAATATTCGGTCGGTATCAATAAGAAGAGAACGCATCGGATGACGAATGAAAATTGGATGAAAAGTTCATTTTGGAATCATTCGAATTTTACCATGGACTTTCGGCTCCCGGCAGAAACATACAAATTCAGTTAGAAAACGATAGAAAAATGAAATGCTGTTTGGGAATTAACGCACGGATGCCGTCTAGAAAGATGTCAAAATACTGAACACAATATAAATGTTTTTTGATTTTTTAGTCTTCAAAATATTGCGCAATATTGTCCATCTTTGGGCCGCTTCATTCTGGGCCATGTTGAGATGGAGCCAAACAATTTTGTGAGGACTGTTGCTACCACATGGTGTTAATAAAAGTAAAGCGGGTGAAATTTTGAAGCAACTCAAATGCATATTCCACGTGATGAAAAAATGGTGCAAGACCTTATGAACATGCTGACTTCGACTCTTGCGTACTGTTTTGTGAATATTTCAAAGACATGATACCATATTCGTTTTCTGAATAGTATTTATTCAATTCGAATGGTGGAGTGAATATATATACAAATGTTGATGGTGGAGATCCTAATTTATTTCGAAAACCAGCAACCTCAAAAAATGTGGTCTGGAAGATCATAGATATTGTTAATTTTTGTTATCGACGTTAACTTGAATGGTTAATTTGACGTCGTTCTCGCAATTTTGATTCAATACCGTAATTTCGAATATAAACTCGAAGTTTCGATAATTAAATCGAATTTGGACATCAAAGTAGAAAGTTCAAGATTAAAGTCGAATTTTCAAGAAAGTAGGTATTATTCAGAATAAAAGTTGTCTTTCTGGGCTTTCCTAAGATTTTTCCAAGACTGTTCCTGTTTATTGAGTCGCGTGGTATATGCCCAGCCTCGATTAATGTTAAGTGGCAGATCCTGAACGATAGCAGAAAAAAGTGCAATAACATTCATTTCGCGCATGTCAATTTACTCAAAGAGCATGTCGACGCACCGAACTTTGTTTACACAAACGCCGTGACGCTGATTAAGATAACAAGCGATTCTCGCATTTTCAGAGAAAACTTGTAAAAATCTCCCAGTTTCATTTCCTAAACCGAATTGTCAAGAAATTGTATTCATTATGTTCTAGTGTTTGTTTCTTAGAAGTTTCTCCGAGATATATCCTCGGTAAGTTCGTAGAAGTTTTCTTCATTATCCTTTTTGTGTTTATCGTTATTTGAAAAAATGTTTAGACGAAGCGGTTCAGTTTATATGAAAACATAAACATTGTTGATGTTTTGAGAAAATGATGGATAAGGGGAAACAGAGATGATATGTTTGGTATGTTAAATTCACTTACAATCTCGATTCGTGTTTTTGCAAAAAAAATTTATTCACCGGTACCATTATTGTTAAATCAGACAGAATTTGGCATATTGGAAAATCACTAAAATAGGTATTTTTGGACTACCTCTTCTATACTGCGTGAAAAAAAACTCTACAATTGATTCAGTTTTTTTAAATTTCAATAATTGAGGTGTTGGAATGGCTATATAACATTTTAAACTTTGACATCCTAGGTGATCTGAGAAATTGAGATGAGAAATAAGATTACATATGTTTTCAAATGAAAATTAGAAAGATATCTAGAGAAAACTACATCGATTGTTGTTCCACGTCTTGTGGTAGGCCCATTTCGGTTATTATTCATTTGTAGTTCTAAATCATCTTGTAGAAAATTTAAAAAGAGTTGACCATCTTCGGACGCGAAATTAACATTGTAATCTCCTGCTAAAATTAGTGGCAACGCATGATAGTTTACTCCTAATTCTTCAGAGCCTACTCGACCGTAACTGTGTGCTCGCACCTCTCTCTCTTGCCCCCACAGTAATATATAAAACTTAACTCTCTCTCTTTCTATCTTCACCAACTTATACCGTCCTCTCAACTTTCGTTCGCCTCGCCCGATCACACTTTTCGTCACGCTCTCGTCACGCATTCACCAGCTTACTCCCCAAAGCCAAGCTTGCGTAAAGTAGTTTTACTTCAAAATAGCTGGCAGTGACAAACTGATACTACAGATTCTTTCAAACGTAAAAAAAATCGAGGCTACAATTTCATTCTTCATGCCTGTTATTTTTCAGATATTCCTAGACTGCAAATGTGAAATAATGACGAGGATCAGACGTAACTAGTCACTATGTCGTCTCAAGAAGACATAAATCCGGAGAGTTCGCTGGACACACCATCGACGACAAACTCGAAGGATTCGTTTTTCGATCCCAAGCCTCAGCCGAAGATCATCAGAGTTTTGACGGTCATGGCATACGTCCTCAGCGTCTCTATGGCTGCGATTCTTCTCTCTATTTATTACATTTTCATGTGGGATGGACGACCGCACCTTGGAGCGCGAGTCAGTGGTCCCGAGTTTGGTTTGGATAACATCAGGTGAGTTAACAGCCTTCAAGAGGGGTAGTTTTCGACTGGCACTCTGGTGAAGTCGAAAGTGATTTCATATGCGACTATTTCCATTTCCGAGAAAAAATCAAGACCGTCCCGTCTACATCGTATTACGTAGGTACTGCATAACTGTTTTTGTATGCAATAGCAAATGGTTTGCAATATATTTATTCCTTAAAATGATCATTATACAATGATGTGGGTGTCGTCAATGGTAAAGCATGAAAAAAAAGCAATCAAAAGTGTTTATGCATACACATAATAGTCGATATAGGTAATGCCGGACATGAAATTCATTGTAGACTGGTGAAAGTGGTTATTCAAAATATTCATTAATATTTTTTTAACCGTAGTTTGCGCTGGTCAGGCCCTATCCCCCGAAGCCCCAATACCTAGCCCTGCACCTTGTGTCAGGAACCTCTATACCCATCATGCGACTGGGGTAGACTAAGGTGTTGAAGACACCATCCTGGCAAGCTATGATGAACCCCTCAGTGTCCGACTTCAGCCCACTCGACCTGAGGGAAGCGAAAGTCAGGCGCTTTGATAAGCCAAGGCCTTCAATGTTATTGAAGAAGACCCCATGCATCGGTTTATCCTTGTGTTTCCACAGAAGTGAGGTGCATCTCTGCGGCTTTTATATAAGCTTTTTGCTGAACGAGTTCCAACTCGGTGACAGAGTTGTGATCACCTCGTTCAGTGTCGAAAACTAAACCGAGTTCATCAGCTGCTCGGGCAGCTGCCCTAAAGAGAAATGCTCCAATTCCTGCTCTCTCATGGTCACGGACTCCTGACGACTTCACAGGCCATACCCAGTACCATTCTGTCATGTAGACACTCCAAACTCAGAAGTCCACGGCCTCCCTGTTGTCGGGGGAACTACAACCGTGGAACCAGTGGCGGCGCAAGACCAAAATTTATTGCAGGCAAGGTACATTTTGGGAGGCCCTCTGATGGTGCAAGAAGAAAGGTTTATAGAATGAAAAAAACCCTCGAAATTTTTTATTCATTGAGACACTTTCCAAACGTTTTTCTAATGTACTTTTTTGGAACATCAAACAAGTTTATTACTTGTCTACATCATGTCTAGGTCGCCGTATCAAAACTCCAGTCATAGTCACTGACACTGCGGCTATATACTCATTGAGACCTTTAAAATGAGGAATTGGTCCTTTGTAGACTGTTCTGCTTGCAGCATCAAGTCAGAATTGAAATGTTATTTATTGAATGCATAATTCCTCTTCATAATCTTGGAAACGAGCTGGTAACATTTGAACAGCTCGAACGGTTTTCATTAAACATATCTAAGAATCATCCCGACAAAATGAGCTATTGAATAAAAGAACCGCATCGAAATATGTCTTCTAGAGTGCCACAGACAGACACACAGATATACAGATACACAAGTCAAACTCATAACAAACCTTTTTTGCGTCGGGCGAGTGTTTAAAATGAAGAAAAAATAATTAATTGAAGAAACAATAATGTTCTACTTTCGGTTTTACTGAATTCCCTAATTATTGGTGATGTTTTGATGCTATAATCTACTTAGATAAAACTGCCGTAGCTGAAAGTCTTTCTTGACCCATTGTATTTCTTGAATAATTTTTTGTTTTCAATTTTGAAAAACTTTTTTCAGCGGAAGCAGTACTTGCAGGTAATTTGGGTAAATTTATTTCAAACCATTCTCTATAATACATTGAAGCATATTATTATGTCTTCAATGGATGAATTTGGAATATTATTTTCTAGTTCTTCATATAATTCGTTAGAATGAAAGTCATTGCTCTCACCTACTTGCAAGACTGTGTGTGAATCTCAACAGTTTTTCAGTATTTGCTCTTCTGGAATTTTTGTCACCTTTTTTAAGTCATAGAAAAAAACAAAATTTTTAAAATGCTGATATAAATCTCGAATCAATATTGCTTATCATATAATCAATCATGGTATTATGAAATTTAGCTCATACCGGCTTTTGGCAGACTTCATAATCAAACATTCTTTTCTTTTAAATAAATCCTTTCATCATTGAAATCTTTTGGCAAATCATAATACTTTTCTCAATGAACTGGCGAGCGTAGACAAGCATTTTTCGAATCCAGTTTATCGAAATTCTTTGATCCAGTCACAAAATGTACGCAAATGTTCAATAGTAATGATTAATTGGACTTGTACAGATTGCCATCATTTGCTTATGGTATTGACACCCGTTAATAAAGATGAGACAAAGATGAGAATTTTTCAATTTATCAATTTTATAATATGACATAGTTTATCAGAAAATGAAATATATTCACGAATGTTTCATTTCATGCGCCGAAAAATGTAATATCTTTGGATTGAAAATTTTCTAATGTATTGATTATACATTTTTCAAAATTTATTTTCGGCTTTGAGGCGCGAGACCCTTTGCACCGCGAGGCCGTGGGCGGTCGCCCAAGCCTTACGCCGCCTCTGCGTGGAACGGACGATTTGGGATGCAAACTCCTATAGAGATGCATCATTATTATTATTATTATGAAAGCAACCATCCACGAGATAGTCTCTGATTCTCCGTTTTAATAGTAAAATTGATAATTTGGTTAAGGCTTTCGCGGCCGAGATTTTCAGTGTTACCTACTATCTTCATTCGGGTTTGAAGGCCGTAGTACTTTGGAACTGCATCCTGACGTTTCGCCAGCACGAGTCACTGGCTTCTTTAGAGATTTATTTATCTTGATGATTCATCGATGGCTGGTGATTTCTAGTTCGTAGTTTTTATATATGTTGACTCAGGATGCAGTTTCAAACTACGACGGCTTTTAAACCCGAATGAAGATGGGAACACTGACTAAAATTGATGCAACACTTTTAATGTTGGAAGGTAGACAATTGAAAAATGTTGAGCATGCTAGAGATGTCTTCTTTTCGAATAAATTTTGTACGATGTTGTTGTAGTTTGATTACAATCGATAACCTTGATGGAAGAGTAGATATTCACCATCACAAATGAATTTATTATTATTTTCAAAGACATACAAATACACTTAATATTTTCACTTATTTTGTTGACGTACAATAATGGCCTTTTCAAAAGGTGGTTGCACCAACTTGTACCAGAATTTTATTAAACAAAGATATAACTTTTTCAGAGTATATGAGTATGTTTTTTCATTTTCAGTATACCTGAATTCCAACCTAAATCCAGTACCACTCTGATTTCATTTCACTTTGGAAAAACAAACCAGTCGCTACCAACATTGGGAAAACTATCAGCAGAATCTTTTGAAAAAGACACAAATCATACACGTGCCAGCTTGTTATATTTAACAACTTTAGAAGAAAATTCCACATTGGATCATAGAAGTAGTACAGGTTAGATTTATTTTTTATATATTATGATTGTACATCGATCGAAAATGATGTATAATAATTTGTACATAATATAATTTGATGACTCAAGATTCTTTTAAATACCTGGTGAGAAACTAAATGAAATATTTTGTTCTGTTGGGACGATAAAAGAATGCACATGCGCCTCCAACAAAATTCACGATAAAACACATACTTCTATATAGCATCCTTTTCTTCGTCTAGTGAAAAATGCAAAAAAAATACAGTTAACGTTTGCATTTAATCAGAGAGAGCTCTTATTCAGATGCGTTCACTCAATAGATACATAAAAGAGAGATAACTGAACAAACGTGAGTCGTCTGTAATTTCTTTGATTTTCAGACCGTTTGACAGTTTATATTATTTTGATTTTGCTTATTGAAAAGTTATTCCGGCTTCAATTTTTTATACGAAATAAATAGTTGTTTTCACAACTAATTGTTCATATCTAACTAACAGTAGTTCGCAAACATTCGTCTAAAAACTGTCATTCTCTTCGTGCAGCAAAAAATAACTAGGAAAGTACACAAACTGTAGAACACAAATGCGATCATAATTATTACACTTGACAAATTTTGACTCTGTTTTATCAAGTGAAATTACTATTATTTTGGTTATTCAATTAACTTAAACTAAGGACACGAGTTGAAACTTGTTGAAGTTTTTTATAAACTTTCAATGCCATTTCAATATGTTCAGAGCTTTATGTAACTTGTAAGGAATCCTTTCGTGGAGCAATTCCATTTGCGTTACGTAATACAATCAAGTGACCTTAATATTCAGCTGGGGATAATCTATCGAATTGCAGAGGAGGGAAACCTATCAAAATTAATTAATGCGACTGATGTACACGGCGAGTTCAAAAATTCTGAGAATCATTCGTTGAGGTTGTTTTGAAAGTTTTGTCCGATTTTTTCCACGTGTTTTGTTCATCAAATCAATCAATCAAAAATGTACTTTATTGTCAAAGAAAAAAAGTCTTATTAACGAATCTTAAATAAATAAAAAACAGTCAATTCACAGTAACAATGGAACATTATAGATTCTAACGCTACATGTACACAGGACATAAGATTCTACAAAGCAGTTAAGAATTAATTTACATGTATAGATAAAATAAATAAATCAGTTGGTTCGACCTCAAGGGTTCAGGTACTCAAAATCTGTCTTCAAGATATTCTTCCAAGGTATAAATGCTTTCGTGGGTAAAAGTTCCTTCACACGTTTTCGGAATTTTTTTGACTAGACTATACTTTTTATTTGAAATTTCATTTCAAATATTGAAATTGGCTTTGAATTAGACATACTGTTTATAGAATGAAGATGCAGTAGATTGTTAGTATTCTACTCTTTATGAAGAGTGGTCTACAATGGTCCAAACGCTTGGCTCTACATATTGTATATCTTTCTCGCCCATTTTCGTAAAACAAACACTGATTGTCTCAACTGCTTGCTGCATAAACCCCAGAAAGCGATACCATACCTCAGATGAGACTCGACTAATGAAAAGTAAGATGTTTTTCCTGCTACTATTCCCAACTTCTTGGTGATGACCCTGATAGCGTAGCAAGCTTTTTGTTAAGATGTTTTACGTGTTCAACAAACTTCAGGGTATTATCAATCCGTAATCTCAAGAATTTGGTGCACGTTTTATTTTCGATGACATGCTATCGGAGGCTTAGGTTTCCCGAAACAAATTTAAACGAAATTATGTTAGTTTTATTCACATTGAAACATAAAGAATTGGAATCACACCAATATTTGACTTTCTCTAAATCAGTTTCAATTATATTTCTCAGGGAGTCTGTATTATTTCCATGCCATAGTAAAGTTGTATCGTCTGCAACTTTCCTTGTTTGTCGATATTAGAAGGTTATTCACATAGATAAGGAACAAAATGGGACCGAGCACTGATCCTTGGGGGACTCCACAGGTGATTTTCGAAATATGAGAATTTTTGTTCTGCAACTTTACCATTTGAATTCTATCTGAGAGTTAAGATCGGAACCAATTAAGAAGTGTTCCTTTGTTCCATATCTCAATGAATATTCTACCATGTAGTGGTACATACTAATCGATAGAGAATTTTGTGCTCTACGCTACCGAAATAGCCTGAAAAATAAATCAGGCATTTGGCAATGATAGTGTTCGACGTTGATATGCGAAATTTCGTTACGGAGATCTTAGTCTCGAAGATGAGTCCCGAAGTGATCGACCTACAGTAATCCAGGACGGGTATTTGAGAACCCTCTGCTGGAAAAGGTTTGTTCTTCTTTGCTTTTTCGTCACCAAAACGATCCTTTTTTTGGTTCAGATCGTCACTTGTGATGAAAAGTGTATCCTCTACGACAACAACAGATGTTCAGGGCAGTGGTTGGACACCGATGAGCCAGGCACTTCCCAAAGGCGAACACCAACCAAAAAAAAACATGGTTATTGTATGGTGGTCAGCAGCTGGTAAGATTCACTATAACTTTCTGCAACCGGGCCAAACCATCACAGCAGAGTCCTTTTGTGAGGAAATCGACGAAATGTACTGCTGCGTCAGCAGCAGCCGGCACTGGTCAACAAAAGAGATCCGATCCTGCCCCACGACAATGCCCGTCCGCACGTTTCACAAATCATTGTCTCAAAATTAAACAAAATGAGCGTCAGAGTTCTGTCTCACTCACCATACTTCCTAGACCTCTCGTCAACCGAACACCATCTTTTCAAGCACTTCGATAACTTTATCACCAATAGAACCTTCGCCAATCAGAATTTTTAAGTTTACACGCCAACTTGGTTAACGAAGATACAGCCCTTACTGCCCTTCTGACATGTTGGATCGCACGTTGAAACGTTAGTTCCTCCTAATCATCGCCGTCGACGTCATTTTCATTTTATTCTACCTACGCTTAATTTTAAATAACCGACGACGCCTCACAAGCCACATCGCCCCCATTAACAATGTTTCATTTTACAACTGACAACACCGAACTGTTTGCGCTGCCAAACGTTTGTTATCGTTGAAACGGATCAGTTCGATAGCATATCCATCTCTCTCACACTCATATGACAAACCGGCCCCTCTCACTTTTACACACACACTCTTATGAAAACCCATCCTCTCGCTCTTACACACATGGAAAATCAAATTTGGGGTTATGTTTAAAAAAAATTGTGCCAACTACTGCTTTAGATTTCTACTCAGGCCGAAACGGCCTTCATCGATTTCATCAAATCCCAAACACACAATTTTTATGCTGAGGGAATTGATAGACGTTGGCACTGATTCAAATGGGCGCTTATTTCTATTTACTGAGATATTACAGTTTAAGGTAGACTCATAAAAACGGACAAAACTTTTGAAATAACCTAATATAATGTTTTAAACTCAATTATCACCTACCAATGTTGATGGCTATTAGGTACATGTTCCAAAAAGAAGAAAAGAACTTTGAAATGAATCAAACACATCAGGTTTATTATCTTATACACTTTGTATGATATAAAAGCTTGTTGCGAGATTTAGCAAATGTTTTTCTCAGAAATATGAAAGTAAAAAAATAAAAATTGAGAATAAAAAAACTAAAGTGAAAGGGACAAACAATGTCAGTGTGATTAAAAAACATAGCACAGAAAAAATGACAAGATAGGTTCAGCATATTTCAGTTGTACAGGTAAAATATTGTATAGAGCAATAACTGAATTCCACAGTAATTATTCAAAAAAAGTATGACCTTTTACCTATTTGATAACTGATAATTTCACGTGAGCTTAGGTTTAAACCAATTAAAAATTGAAATATTAGAAAAAATATTCTACAAACTCATTAAAAGGGCGTGTTATATTTACCAATTTCCATATTAGGAAAAACATTATTAGAGAGGAATTATTCAATTCTATTTGGCTATTCACTAAATTTTCAGAATTCTTGAATCTATTGATCTCCAACTATTCCAAAACATGGGTTTTAAACTTTCCTCTTCTGAATGTAACACATCATAGTCATGGTTGAACTGTGCCCCTCTGCCAAAAGGTGGTTTGAAAATATGAAACTGGAGTTAACATTTAAAAAACTAATCTTATGTTCTTTTATTCTCTGGAGAAAGGTTCTCCCCGTTTGATCAAGAAAATAATAAAAAATAAAAAAAATGAAAAAATTCGATACCCTTTGTTGTATTTAAATTTGAAAATTGTTAGCGCTCAATGGAAACGCTTTATAAATCAGCCCAAATTATTATTCGTCCTGTAGGCGAGCCAATACAATTTTTCAAAAAACGGTTGATGTTCTAGGTAGGCTCACCAATGTCAATGTCCTATGCCACTAAAGGTATCTGCCCACTATACTGTACCAAACCATGACCGTAAACGTACCGTTACGATTACGTACGATTTATATGAACTAACGCTCACTAGACCATTCCGACATCGGTCCGACAAGTAGCGTAGCATGCACGTACCATGACAGTATTCGAGTCGAAAATATTTTACCGGTGTTGATACGCAACGTGCATGGTACGTGACGTTGCTAAACCGTAGGTCTCCGGCAGAGAACCAGTGTATAAACGGGTTGTAAATCATTTTCAATTTTATTTGGCAATATTCCATTGAAATGTAGATAATCTCATAGCCATATTCGTTCTTCGTGATGAACTCTTCTATACGTTCACACTACACTGATGAGTAAGCCGGAATAACATACAATACTTCACATTACCTACAGTTGTCAGACGGGTATCTAATGGTCATGATACCCGTATGATACAGGCATTATACCCGTATGACACGATCATTATACGTGTTGCTTACGGGCTCAGAACACGGTTGATCCATGATCCGTGTCGTGTTATTTTCCGTGTTCGATACGGTCCTAGCACGGCCATGGTTGGTACGGTATGGTGGGCAGAGACTTTTACTTTTACTTACTTTTTACGTTTCTTGAAGTGGTTAATGACTTTTCATAATTTTTTTGAAGAATGGGGTCGATAATATCTACCTTGCAAAACTGCTTTCTTGCAGTAAAATATTCAATAGTCTGTGAAGCATACTACTGCTACTTCATGCTGATAGAGATGTAACGAGAAATTATGTATGACAATGAAAGATGGAACCATCTTTTATGGATTTGCGGTTATATAAATTATTCAGTAAAAATCTCAGTGTTCCTTGAGTAACCTTCAGAGACCTTTTAGGTTCGCTGTAATAGGAGAAGAGTATAGAGAATAATAAAATACTTGGAATTACAAATTTGGTAAGAATTTCTCAATATCTTTGTAAATTACGTTTGAACGAAACCGCCAAACATGCGCGAGAAATCTGGACCAGCTGTTTGGTATTGATTTTCCGGCACGAAACCAAGAGAATTTGAAATCAAAACAATCGCGTCCTAATTTCAGAAATTACTCGACAATACTCTAAAATTAAAAGTACCTAGTCATTACACATAGTCTGTTCCGGCGAAAATTGAAACAGTTTGCCGCATATTGTTGGCGACGTTAGAAGAAAAATGCAGTGAATTACCCCGTTCTAAAAGTGCTAGTATGGCCTTAACGGTAGCGGTGTTCTGATTTCAAAAAACCAATAAAACGACCCCAATTGTGACCTCGAACAGTTTCATACATAAAACAAAGTACCTACACAGAAAAATCAGCGTGGCTTTGACGTTACTAAAAAACGCTTTCATTTTTCTTTTTGAAAAAATGTCCTACAAAGCCACAAACGGTGTCAACCAGAGCGACTCCCAACAATGGAAGACGGCCTCCCTCCTGGACACCACCGTAAAGTTTGCAGGAGAAGAGGCGAAAGACAGATTGTACGAGCCGAAGCACAAGAAGAAGCTGGTCAGAGTGTTAACGGTAGTCGCGTACGTGTTCTTTGTGTCTCTTGCCGCTATCATGTTGAGCCTGTACTACGTACTCGAACAATGTACTTTCCAATTGAGATGTTCATCAATGCACATTCCTAAAAACGTGACATGGGTGGCAGATTTGGAAATTGGCTTATCATTTACAGTGAGATCGAGTTTTGTACAAATTTTTTGACGGTTGTGAAACCGAAGATATTGTGTCTTATCCACATTGAAGAATAATGAGTTGTTGTATGACCGTGTAGCCAATGACCGGATCAGCTCATTACAACGTGTTCCGAGCATTTCATCAGAATGATCTGACACAAGTACAGAGATGTCATCTGCATACATTGTAACATGAACATGTTCACATAGTTTTTCAATATTAATAATATATAGTAGAAATAACACAGGGCCCAAAATAGAACCCTGTGGAACACCTATGGTGATATCTGCTAATGTAGAAATTGTAACCCTCAACTCATTGCACTGTTCATTTCTCAAACATACATACTGTTTGCGATTTTGTAGAAAGCTTGTAATCCATGTCAGTGCATTGTCTTTTATACCATAATGGCATAGCCTCTTTATCAAAATATCAGTCAATCTGCCAATAGATTTAGGTAATTATATTATAATTTCGTTCTGTTGATCTCACGTTGAAAGGCAAGACCTTGTTAATCCTTAGCTTGAGCGAATTTCGACGTACGAGGGTTGTCGTTAGTAGAGAAGCGACAGCTGGTTAACGGAAAAATAAATTTCGTTTGAAGAAATGGGTTTTTATTGATGAGTTAATAGTATATATTCTTCATTTCACTGCGGGTATAATGTAAATTTTATGGACTTCTCCGTAAAAGAAGGGGATTTTTCGTTTTGAAAATAATAAAGGATTGCATCTTGATGTCATTTCCGGAATACGTTTATTTAGGGAAAGTAAATTCGAATTTCCAACGTTCTATAAACATAACATAACCTGAATCATATTTGAATGTCAGAAATTACTTACAAAACATGATAGAAATTTTGTGTATGATGACAAGAGGAGTCACTTTAACATTATGAAAATATGCATGAAAAGGGAAAAAAGTGTATCAATACATTCATATCATTCACCCCTTACTATATTTACAAACGTCTTTCGAATGGCAGTCATAAACACATAATATATGCAAGCGAGACATACGTGGATTGTTAAAAAAATAAGGTGAATGTTCAAATTTCGCGGGCTACATACATTCGATTAGCGATTTTTTATTTTTTCATGTTGGTACTCTCGTATCGAACATATGTTCACAGTTTCAGCTGTTTAACATGTTTAGTTGACAGTGACATACGGTGATTGTACTCTGAGCCAGAAAAATGTTTACAAGTGGTATAAGCTTTTCATATAAGTTCGAAATGTGAAAGACGACGCCCCAGTACATCAACAACCGATGAAAATGTTGAGAAAGTGAGAAAAATTGTTATGGAGAATTGTCGAATCACCATTAGAGAAGTTACTGAGGATGCCGCCATATCGGTTGGCTCATGCCATGCAATTTTTTCGAAAATTTTGGGTATGTGCGTGCGGCAGCGAAATTAGTTTCAAAATTGCTGAATTTTGACTAAAAAAAGTCAACGGCGATCCAGATTTGCCTAAAAAGGTCATAACTGGTGATGAATCATGGGTATACGTATATAATTAATCCTCAGCCAACGTATTCACCAGATTTGCCCCCCTGCGACTTCTTCATGTTCTCAAGATTGAAGAGACCCATGAAAGGACGGCATTTTGTGACGACTGAGGAGATAACCGAATCGCTGGGTGAGCTCAAGGACATACCAAAAAGTGCATATCAGAACTGTTTCGAGGATTGAAAAAGACTCTGGCACCAGTGTTTTGTATCCGAGGGGGACAACTTCGAAGGGAACAAAATACAAATTGATGAATAAATGAATATTTTTTGAGAGAAATGAAACCTTATTTGTTGAAAAGAGAGCGTATATTCAACACAGTGTTCTGCCATCCAGTTTAGTAATTAGTCATATTTCATGTCGCTTGACTTTTTCTGTTGTTTTTCCGTTTTTTGAAAATTCGTCAGGAATTTCAAAACATTCTTGTATTTTCTTTTTATGTTGACAGCTAGCAAAATTTGTTTCCTCAACAAATGAATACAGTATTTCCCCAAACAGTAAATGTAAAAAGGTTTTTGAAAATATTTACATATGTATGTTGGGAAATTTTGGGCCATGAAGATAGAAAATAATAATAGTAAAAAAATGAATAAAAACTAAAAAAATAAAAATGAGAGAAAAGNAATAAATCGAGAAAAATGTTTCATAGAATCAGATATTTGAGTCGAATGTAACGAATTTTCTAATAAAAAAATGAGACAATGACATTTTCAGGCCTGATTTTATATCAACAGAATGTTAAATTGTTTTCTCAAAACCAAGGTCCTTGGAGAATTTTCAATTTACAAACATTTTCGAATATTTATGATGAAAATGACTCATTTGAGTTTATCCTATAAAAATATGGTTAAGTCAATTTTAGGCAAATAAACGTCTCTACACGCCACATTTTGGTTTTCTATACAAAATTGAAGCTTACAGATCTCGTATCTCATTATATCAATTAAAAAGTAGTATCTTTCTGAAAATACATAAAAAGAGACTAAACCTAATGACCACTCTAAGTAGTCTTCTGCTGTTTCGAGTTAGAAATCTAGCATATAGTTCACTTTTTTCTATTTCTTTTTTATTGCCTCTCTAGGAGAGCATTTAGATTCTCTTCTCCTTAATTTTCACCTCATGAAAATCTCTATGAAATGTTTATTCACTAATCTTTGTGTTTTTACAAAAATACAGTTGGCGAAAATGTATTTAGGTACCAATGCCTTCATGGTTTCAAGTTGAAATACTCAATGTCATATGAAGAACAATATCAACTTGCTGGAAATCAAACCACAGACTTCTAGAATCTACGTGGAGATTGAAAGTTTCTCTTATAAGTGAAATTTCAAATCAATGCCCTTTTAAATATCATATACTTTGTGTAGAGTTACTGTGTGTGTTATCTATTTCAATGTTTGGCATATAAAATAAATCGATTTCTGTGTACTTCATTTCTACAGATGTTCTATACATTTTTGTAAAGTTTTCATTGATTTTATCTCAGAGGAAGTTCACCAATTTCTTATGGAGAAGTAGAAAGTTAGAAATATGTATCCCAAAAACTGATCCCTAATGAAAAAATATTTCTTTTTTTGTACTCATATATGAACTTTTATTACAGAGATGCAGCAACAGTTCATAGCAGTAGAATCTGAGCAGCTGAGAGCCTACACGACAGATTCACCAACATACGATGAGAACACCACTGAATCCATTGACTACGATGGCATGGAAGATCTAGGAAAAACTAGCCCATTTATTAAAAAGTTGATGGGCAATTATGAAGCAGACTACTAGTTGAAATTATAGTAAATTTTGGATTAGGTGTTAGAGGTTGAAATAAAAATACCTTGGATATGTTCGAGACTGAAGATCTAGAAAAAACTAGCCCATTCATTCAAAAGTTAATGGGCAGTTATGAGGGAGACTACTAGTTGAATTTATAGCAAATTTTAGATTAGGTGTAATAGGTTAAAGTAAAAATACTTTGGGTATGTTCGAGACTGAAGGCTCAAGTTGAAATAAAAGTAAAGGAGAAATGTATGTGAGAATTATGATAGAAAAAATTTGATCACATATTTGGAATGGTGCATTTATACACTGCTCCCACTGAACAGAACTGTAACAGTCAACTTGACGACATCAGGAAATGGACAACACTAATAATTCCCGAACAATAACTTGGTCTATATATACCTAACACATACACCTGTACTTTCTGGCAAAGTTCACTGCTCAAAAGAAATATTAGAATTCGTTCCAAAGTACACACTGCATATCTGATTCGGAAGACTATAAAAGCCATATAAATAAGGAATATTATTTGAATCATCTAAAGGAACAATTTGTTCAGGCCAGTCTCAACTCCCTACCTTGGTTTTTTTTCGCTACGGCCCTGAGTGATAGTGAATCGTTATACAGAATTGTCTAAAGAATCTTGTAGTACCAAACGTTTCATATATGCTACTGTGGCAGGCATTTTCAATACAACGAATATAGTATCTCGAAGTCTCGACAACGACTGACTGCAGAGATCTGTGATCACGCGTATTTAATGGCATAGGCTGGAGGGGGTGGGAAGTCCGCATTTCTGCCAGGTTGTTCTGATTGATCCACGTTGTTGACGGTAAGCTCATTATAAAAGTTTGTTACTATGTTTTACGAATCCCTATTTCCCCATTTATCATTACGCCAAGATTTATTGCTTTTTTTAGCCATCAGAAGCTCAAATTTCTTTTTATTAATGATATCACAAATATTTTTGTAAATTTAGATCAGGGATCAGGGAGAGCTTCTCAACTCTCCAACTCCTTATCCAATAACTAAACCTAAAAGGTTTGGTGGTGCAGCCAGGAAACGACGGGGTACCTTATGAAACCGCCTTGCACCAAATTCTTGAGCGGCGTACGCAAAATCTGACTCAGGTGGAGGAGCAAACTCATCATGCGCAGGTTATCAAACATTTGTGCTCAAGTGATGATTCACCAAAACCAGAGGCGAAAAAGCCCTACGCGGGTGAATCTAAGGTATCGTCAGGTGTAGCTGACGCGCAAAAACCTTCATATGGGAAGGTTGTCGCGGGTATCAAAGTGGGAATCTTGCCCTTGACTATCCGACTACCTCATTAACGATGAAACAGCAGAGCATATACTTTGTGCCTGCCCCGCTGGGGACCGAATCAGGTTTTTAGAGTTTAGCAGNAGGCCAGTCTCAACTCCCTACACTGTAGGTTAATGAACTGACACATATCAGAAAACATCTACTACCCTGGCTAATATCACGAAGGGCGTTGGATTATATCCGACAGTTGTCAGTGCGGGATTCTTCACTGAAGTTATTCCTGCATATGCTGTTGGTGATACAACTGCCGCACTCGTCTGGCAACTCGTCAGTGCAAGGTACAACATAAAGGATGATTTCCGATAATTGAAAATCGAATTCCTTCAGAGTAGCATTCCTCGAACTAGTCTGAAGCAGATTTGTAATCGCGCCATCTGCCTGTGAACGAGGTAACCAACCGTATATCCGAAATCCGGCTGGCTACAAATCAAATCATCTAAAGGAACAATTTGTACAGACCAGTGGCAACTCCCTACACTATAGGTTATTGGACTGACACCTATTAGAAAACAACTACTCTCCTGGATAATACCACGAAGGGCGTTAGATTATATCTGACAGGTTTCAGTGAAATGCCTATTGAATGCTTTCAAAAGCCTGGAAATAGCAAATTATAGCACAACGGCTATGAGCAATGGTGTTAAGAACTTAGCTCTAGTTGACACCAGCTCAGCGAGTTGAGAAGAATACTAGTAGTAGTAAGTAAATATGTACAAAATGTGTGGGACTGTTAGACCTTATTCAAGCTCGACCAAATGAGACTAGCTTCCTAACGAGGCTGATTACCTCATCTGGTGAGTGATCTTTCAGGTCAGCTGCAAGAGTAGTCCTCTGCTGAATGCTGAAAACCTGGTCCTGTCGGCGGCAGGACATCCACAAAGTATGTGTTCTGCTGAAAGGGTCTGAATTTCCTTGTGAAGAACTATCCACTATAAGGTTAAGAGGCCATAAAATATTTTCCCCAATCTAGTGAGGACCTGATCAGTGGTCTATCTGTGATTACTTTCATCAGGTAGGTAAGCAACACAAATGAGTGACTTGGGAAGTAGGTCTCCTGTTTCACCCTGCCATGACTGCAGGATAACTAGTCACCAACCAGGAGAAGCTATCTTGATCCTACAGGTAACCTGTGGCCTTCCAGCCCAAAATGTGCAATTCTGGAACTGTAACTGTGGATTATCCTCAATGGCAGCCCTGTAATGGAATATTGAAGAAATTCCACTCGATTGGTTGATATGAGGTTGTCAGATGGTCAGGATGCAAGATTCACACCTTAACGACTGCAGAAACCTTTCCATTTCAGGGTATCTTTAAGACAGCTATACCTGACGTTACATTAGATTTGTCAATGCAGGGATTTTTCTTCTCTGGTTTGAGGGAATTTTATAGCTTGAGCATAAGCTACTCAAGGGAAGTTTATTTCCACCTGATGCAGATTCTGCTTCTACTACTCAAGAGCAAATTCCTGAGTTATCCTGCTCCTGCGAAGCCGTAGGTTTGTTACCAGGATCGAGAATCGAAGAACTGAAAAGCTCTTGCTCTTGATCCGATGTTACAGGAAGGACTGTTGGGCTCATTTAGTTGACATGCATCTCCTTCATAGACTAAGGGTCAGATTCTTTGGTAACCACATAGTCTAAAAAGGGTCCCACAAGTAGCTAGGAAAAGAAGGTCCATTATATTGGTATCTTGAAGGTTCTCTAGTGTCACTAAGTGGGCTCGAGTTGTCGTTTAGGAGGACTCTTATCTCCACAAGTCACACCTCACCTGGCAGGGGTATTCTAAAGCTCGTTGCTGCCAGATGTGGCGTTAGTATGGTTCATCTCTAGATTAGTTTATGAAAAGCGAGATCGGAAGAGTAGTGTAGTTCTGGAGAGTGGAAGTTTTGTAGGGTTCACCCAATGCCAGAATTTCTAGATCTACCTATCAATCTAAATTGAAACTGAACTGAGAGCTGATGGTGATAAAACAGAATTCAAGCACTGGAGAATCTTTGTCAATTTATATCACATTCGCTGATACATGCTTTGCAAAAAAAAATGCTGAAAGAATAAGGTTAGGTTAGGTCTGAAGTGAGTGGGTCTATTCGACCCCCACCGCAACCCGCAAGGGTTGAAAGAACAAACCAGGAGAAAATTTGTTTAGGTCTAGGAATAAACCAAACATACAACAATTGCAAAAGTGAGAACTATTTTATATGTCACCATTTTTATTGGGTTTGAAGGTCGACGATTTTTGGAATTTCTTCCTGACGTTTCTCTGGAGCAAGAGGCTAGTTTCTTCAGAGTTTCATACATCTTGAGTAAATCTCCAATGACTGGGTAGTCCGACTGCTTAAAGCATATTTATTCAGGTAGTTTGGTGTGCACACAAGCAAAACGCCAGGAACCAATTCCGATATCGACGGCCTTCAAACCCAAATAAAAATAGTGACATTGAAAACCTCGGCCGCGAAAGCTTTAACCATATTGTCAGTATTTCTATGTTAAACTATTTTATATGTCACCATTTTTATTGGGTTTGAAGGTCGTCGATTTTTAGAATTTCTTCATGACATTTCTCTGGCGCAAGAGGCTAGTTTTCTTCAGAGTTTCATACATCTTGAGTTAATCTCCGATGACTGGGTACTCCAACTGCTTACTTATTCAGGTAGTTTGATGTGCACACAAGCAAAACGCCAGGAACCAATTCCGATATCGACGGCCTTCAAACCCGAATAAAAATAGTGACATTGAAAACCTCGGCCGCGAAAGCTTTAACCATATTGTCAGTATTTCTATGTTGCAACAATTCTCATTTAGAACTATTTCGTATGTGAATGGAAAATAAATTGGCATCAATTTTGTATTTAAATTATGAATAACCATAGCTATACAACCTACACCTAAAAAATATCTTCAAAAGAAACGAGCCTACGTTTATGTATCGGAAACCGACAAAAACTCTTGTCAGTTTTTGGAAAACATTTTAATAAAATCTATTTACAAGAAAATACACATTTCATTCCGAACCTGTCACCATCATATGAACTTTTCTGTCACTCTGTATCATTTTGGCGGCTTTTTCTGTCCCAACACAGGCAGACAGTTGATACACATCATATTTCGAATAGATCACAGTAACAGTCATATTCGAGGAGCTACCGATTTTCTTGTTGAGGTAGGCTTCTTGCATCAGATTGCATATTTCATAGTAGAAGTGCGGAAAAACAGGCAGCTGATAGAATAGAAGGTGACGAATGCCCTTTATCCTCTTTCTGTTGAAAAAGTGGTATCTTTCTGTGTACAACAGAAAATGAGCGTCTCCATGGAAAAACATGTCCCTGGCACGTGCAATTTTCGCTTCCTGAAAAAACATTCAATTGGTACAGTTATGAATGCATGTACACTCGAGGCAAGGAATCATTACACTTGTTCATTTAAAAATTGTGATAAAACAGTTTTATATAGCATACTTTTTTCCAGTGGTAAAAAACATACACAAAAACAGTTGGAACCAAAGCTCAAATAAAAGCACTAGGGATTCAACACCAAGCAGTGCTTTTCATCCAACCATAGGTCTCATCAGTGGTGCTGGGCTGAACAACGGTTGGATTTTCACACTATACTATCCATAAAGTGATGGCATCTCTTCTTATGAAGACATAACCTATGGGGTTGACAGAAGACTTAGTCAACGAATATCAAAGAAAAACGGGGCTCCCAAGGCAGTATCTCACAAAGCTAGGCTAAATATGTTCTTATATCGTCATTATAAATTTTAACCTCAAATTGGAAATAGCTCTGTTTAATATTCACTATACTGAAACATTTGAATTGCCAGATATAGAATTTTGAATACTAAATATAATGTATGTGCTGAATAATTATAGAAGTGCTGAAGAATTCAATGATACTGATTCAAAATCCTAAAAAATAATCTCTATACCTTGATGTGCAGTTCAAGCAAAGAAGTAAATTTCAGACACAAACTGAAAGTAAAAGCCCTCCTGAAACAACTACTTTCACTTCCATAAAGTCATGACATCTCTTCTTACGAAAACTTAACCTATGAGGTTGACAGAAGACTTAATCAAAAGAAAAACAGGGCTCCCAAAGCAGTCACTTATAAAGCTAAGCTAAATAGCAGTCTTTATAACTATTTTTTTGTATAAAGATGAAGTCCAAATTCAAAACATTTCTTTCCTGAGTAGCTTTATATTTGATGGAGTCAACATAAACATGTTTTTTCTAATTCAAAACATAAAATTATGTATCACTTTTTTGCTATCAGTAACGTTAACAACTATTCATGTTTTCTTAATCATATTCTTTCATATTCAAATTTATCAACAATTTTCAAAGTTTTCACCAAATTAGTTAAACTGGTATGGAAACCAAGAAAACCTCGGTGAAACATTGAAAAACTATGTGATGATATGTCAGTCAAGTATAATAAAAAAAAATCAAGAACCAAATGAATTTTGAAACTATTTTTTCATTGACGTTTTTTCTCAACACTTGAAAAACTAACACAGTCTCAAGAAAGATATTTCTTGGATATTACAATGAGAAACAAAAGACTAGAAACACTTCAAATTATATTTTAATTGTGAAAATTTTCAACTTCTATTCATATTTTATCATTTTCATATGTTTATTGTATGTATTCTCAACTTTTTCAACAGTTGATGAAAAATAATACTGTACTTTGCTGAAAATATGACTAAAAATATGATTGGTACATCTCGTTCCAAAAAAGTTACTTACCTTTGAATACTCGCAAATCTGCACAAACCCGATATCCTCCTTTCTGAAGTAATTTCTCAGTCGAACATAATCGAAATAACTTGGCACAAAAATCATTGTTTGCTTCATCAAAGCCTCCCTTTGCTGCGGTAATATTTTATCGACAAAAAACTGGTATCTAGCATCTACAGCTTCAGCAGCGCTCTTACATTCAAATCGGTGGAAGACGTGAGGAACTTGAACAACCACCTGACTGATAGTGCCGAAGTCAATGGGGTTAATGACTTTCACTTTACCAGCATAGTTATGGCACTTTTTGTTGAAGATGGCGTTGATTTCTGCTGAATTTATTGAAGAGAATATCATGGTGTGGCGGTAGTATTTTGCCCAACCGTTCAAACTCCAAGTTCTCACTCTAAAAAAAAGGAGCTAATGAAATCCAAGAGTAATGAGACACTTTCGGAGTCTGAAAATTCTGGGTACAATATTTATGAGGAAGTATTGATATTTAGTTAGTCTAGCCTGGTTATGTGAATAAACAAGTTAATGCAGTACCGTAGTCACGAAGATTAACATCTATTCAATAAGATATATTGACAGACAACAAATTTGTCTCTTTAGGTTGTTTTTATAACATTCATAAAATATGTGAAAAAGGTATGAATACATTACCAATGGGTCAGATTTACATGTAAAACAAGACATTGGAGTGAATACATATTGAAATTTAGACATTTTAATAAAATGAATAAAAACATTTTTGTCTAATTTCCACTGGTTATTTTATTTTTACGACCGGTTTCGAGTTTTATCACATTATCAAGTATAAAACTAACACGTGAAATCTGAAAACTACGTAAGGAGATTTTAGGTAAGCTAGGAGGGAAGGTAGTTAAATGAACAAGGGTACCAATAATAAAATTCAACACTGAAGATTATGGGGGTTGTCAAACTTTTAAATTTGAGAGTGGAGACCTAAACGAGCAACTCGATTTATGTTATATCGAATTTTATATTTGACACCCTTGTTCATTCAACTACCTCGCCTTCTAGCTTACCTGAAAACTGCACATATAACCTAGTTTTCAGATTTCACATGTTACTTTTATTCTTGATGGAGGGGTAAAACCCGAAAATGGTCGTAAAAATGAATAACTAGTGGAAATTAGACAAAAGTGATTATGAATTTCCACAAAATAAACAAGTCATCAATCACACATATTAGAAAGTTATACACATAATTTGAGCTACATAACATAAAGAGAAAATTAGTTCAGCTTCTGGATATAATCACTTAAAGTATAAAATGATCCTCGAATTGAGTATTTTTTCAATGTCTGTTTAGAAATTTTGAGACTTGTTTCTGACTTGATGTTTTCAGGTAACAAGTTGAATAAGTGTGCCTCAGCATATAAACATGTCCTTTTGTATTATGATAGTCATGTTTTTGTTAATTTTTTTTTTGTGCTTCATACCAGTGCAAAATAAAAATTAATCAGGCGACCTATAGAATTTTGACTTGAATGTGAATGAAGCATCATAATGATTTGCTTGGTTTTTTGCAAACAGCATCTACATGGTTGTTGAACAAGAGTTTACAGTATGGTTGGAATTTCAATTACTCGAATATCCCCTTTATTCACAAGATCTGTCTCCAAGCAACTATGATGTCTTTGCCCAAATGAAAATTGTCTGAAAGATTGTAAATTTCTTTCCAACGAAGTGGTGATAGAGGCTGTGGAGGCCTGGTTTACAAACTGATATTTTTTCTTGAAAGGTCTACAGGTATTGCAGATTAACCATTATAAATGTATCCAATCGAGAGGAGAGCAACAATAAAATACTCTGACTTTAAAATTTTGTTAGTTTCTATAGTAGTCAGAATTTTTTTCAAATTGCCTTTTTATATTCTTTTCATATATTTGATTAGTACCTGGCGAAATCTGTTCCGTGGGAGTCCTTAGGCTGTAAATGCAAGTGATTGACAATATGAATAACGTGATCCCAATTTTGCATCAAAAATATTTCAGTCTGGTCAAAAATGAGAACTTCTATGGAAGCTAAGAAATCATAATCTCGTTCAGGTTCTCCTTCAGCCCCAATAATTGTTCTTAGTCCCAAAGGTGAAGCGATAATGATATCAGAAGAATAAAAATCTGCATAAAGCTGAAAACAAAAAAATTTACGTTTCTCTAGAATATTACCTAATGATGGGTATTACCTTTATACTCTTTTTTGTTATAGTTAAACCTATTTTGAAATCATCACTAGTATTGCCCTGAAAAATCAGTTCGTAGTCTTCTGGTTTTGGATTTTTTTTAGGTAAAATAAGCTCATTTCCTGTATAGTCCTCTTCAAATCTATTTTTATTCATAACATTTCCTTTATCTTCTTGTAAAATTAAATCAATTATCATTCTGACAGTTTTGTAGGCTGCATCCTTGAACGGAACAACTATGAGAACCTGAAAGAGACAAAAATAGTGAAATAGTTTGGCATAGAATAATTCCAAAATAAGTACTTTTCCCAAACACCAGAACTCGACGTGGGTAAGCAGTTTACTACATCTCCTGAAAATGCTAACTTGGATGGTGAAACGCTTGTCGAGTAGAGAATCAAGAGTTGAGAACTGGTGTTTGGGGAAAAATGCTTGTTTTGGATGTCGGTAGTAGTAGATAATTAATCGCTGATATCATCACGGGTAGTGTGCCTCACAAAATCAGTGTGCACTGCATTGGTTTTTTGGCATGTGTGGTAACCAGAAGAATACATTTCTAGTTCAGATTCTTAATGACCATCAACAGTTTCACAATGTCACCTAAAATAACATACCTTAGGTCTGACTAAACCTTGGTCTCTAAATTCCTCTGGAACATCATCCTTCTTTGAGAGTTTCGAGTTATGATGTATAACTTTAGTTCTAGTTTTCAATACATGATTCACAGCATGCAGACAGTAAACATATCGTATTTCTTCCGAATTTGAAAATGTTCTGCCAGGAAAATAAAAATCTTGATAATTATTGATTACGGAAAATATTTCAGCTTGTAATGGGCTGAATGTTTCATCACTACAATGTTTCAAATTAACTTTAGGTAGGTTACCTATAATTTGAGATTTGATGAATAAATCTGAAGGTTTTGCCGTTCTTTGAATTCTTTCTGGCACAGAACCTGGAGGGGCATATATTTTTTTCTCAGCAATACTGAATTCACTAGGTTCTTGATTCACAATGTCATTGCATTTTGGGATTTGTATAGATAATTGTCCAAGTACAGGCCAAGTTTCACAGGAAGAGATGACAGATGCATTTTGTAGTGATTCTAACATGTTGTCATGCAAATCATGAAAAATATGTTTAGCGAAAGGATCCTCACTGTTATCAATATCTTCCCATTTTTCATTTTCTGGTTCTACGTGAATTTCCTCAGTGTGAGGATCAACTTCTTCAGAATTTGATATTTTATCTTCATCAACATCCTTTTCACTTTCTACATGCGATTCATCTCCACTGGAAGTACTATCATGATCACTTTTCTCTTCAGCAGGTTTTATTTTTTCTAAAACTGTCTGTTCCTCAGTTTCGCTCTCACTTTCACTCTCACTACTACTTTCGATTGCCACTGACTTTTTATTTTTTCCTGTTCCAGTAAATGTACTTAGTAAGTGATCCAGATCTCCAATTTCCTCTTCAGAAGAAATTTGTTCTTCTTCGGGTTCCATTTCCTCCAGCTTCTGCCTTTTAGGATTCACTCTTTCATGTGGTTTATCGTTATTAAAATTTCTTTTGGGTCTCTTATTCTCTTCATCTTTCTTAAATAAACTGTACGTTTTCCTCGGTCGAATTTTTTTTGGGCCTTTCTTGGATTGAAGATGAGGTTTCTTAACAACATCCTTATATTTTACTTTTCCACGTCGAGCCATATCTGTTTAATTTTAATCCAATATTAAAACGACTACGACTGCCAGTCACATTTTCAAAAACGTAAACATATAACACATTAAACATACCAAAATGTGAGGTTATAGTTGAATACCTTCTTCTTAAATTATTGCAGTTAAAACGTTGCCAAGGCACAGATTTCCTGTTGGTAGAGTTAATTGATACGAGAAATTACTCTACTCTTTGTCGATGTGTAATATCACAATCTATGTGTACCATTTCTCTTAAAGGAGAATGGTTTAAGATCATATATTCTATTATTGAATCAATGCATTATCTTATTTAAAAAAACTGTCTTCCGAGTTAGTTTATTATTCTTTTGGTATGAAACTAGCTGAGGATTTCTTGTGAAAACGAATACATAATAAAGAACTTGACAAATACAAGTCGATAGCGAAAAACAAAGTGCGGAAAATTAAAGTGAAGAGATCTGAATTACGTTAATATAATATAATTACTTTACTGAATGCTTAACATTTACCACCAATCTATTATTGCTTGATTTGCCAGTCCTCCAATAGCACAGGAAAGTGCTACAAATCCGGGTTTTCTATAATCAATGTGACATTGTTTTTTTATTGACCCAGGCTTACTAAAAGTTGAATTCACTACTCCAATTTAATTCAGAAATATTTTTTGAATTTAATTTTTTCCACTGTTGAAAATCAAGCATGTGTACCTAGATTTATGTTCATATTAGAAAGAAATTTTTAGTATAATAACAGTTCAACTATTTCAATAATGATATGTTAGAGATGAACAGTAGAAGTTGAAGTTTATGTGTACAAGGTAGTGAGTATACCCAATGAGTTTGCGATTGTGTTGCCTGAAAATAATTTTCCATTCAAACGTTTGAAATGATCATCTCTAAATAATTAATACATGCCTTCATAACAAAATATAAAAACTTTTATTTGATGTATTAAATATAATTTATATCTTAGAGTTGACCAGGGGCCATTTTACTTTTAACTGCCTTTCCAAATTCATCAGCACCTTTCTGGTTAGCTTCTTCATATTTGGGAATGGATAGAGCACATCTGGCAGCCCATGTGGCGACATTAGAATACGGACTGATATCCCATCCGACAGCCTGAAAAGATTCATTGGTTAGGTAAGGAATTAAAACATTACAAAGTTGCTTTATTGAATGCAGAAGATAATTTTATTGATAATGCATGTTGTTTATGTCCAATTCATACAAGTTGACAATGCTAGTTTGCACCACTTTACATATACACTATAAAATAATGGCATGATCAAAGTTATGACTAGGGTATTGGTATTATCAATAAAATCATGATTATATGCATCTGATAAGTCATCTAATTCACCTATGGATACTTACTACAATACTAGAAACAGAGGCAACCAAAGAACAATCAGCTATTGTCAGTTTATCACCACATACAAACTCATTTCCTTCTAGAAATACATCCAGAAATCCCAATGCTTCTTCTAAAGGACCTTTTTGTTCGTCGAGAATTTGATCTTCTCCCAAGTAGAGTATTGGATACTGAAAAATATGTAAGAGCAAATACTTATTAAAGTTTCCACGATCATTGCCATACACAATTCCTTGATATATCCCTATCAGCCTAAAGCAGCAGTATTCCATAATATGCTTTACAGACTATTAAATTTTCCATTTTCAGTAAGTAATTTTGAAGGAGAATTGATTTTCATGAAATAATCACCTCCTATACTTCTAAAAAAAGTATGGAAAAAGTCATGAACCAGGTATATCCAATATAATTAATATACTTTGGCGAACTCACCAATAATATCGCTCATTTTTTCTCGAATAAATACTTGAACGTTACTCACAGAACAAATGATAATTTGAGCAAATTTATCAAAAACACTTTCCCCCATAACTTTCTGTCTTTTCTGAAACTCAAATGATCCCTTCAGTACCTACTCGGCACTAAATTTTTACTGAAATTGAAATTTTTCTTCAAAGATTTGAAATTTGTCTGGTGAAGTGATGTAGAGACGTCAAAGTTTGTGGTAATTTTATGACCATTCATTTATAAATAGTTCATCTGATTTTTTCATATTAGTTCACATTCCCATTTTACATGAAATAATTTAAACAAGTTTATCGATATACTGAACAAAAATGTCAATATATGTATCAAGTTTTTAGTCGAAACAAATGTAGGGCAACAAGAATCCTTCCAACTTCAAATTTGCAACTTGTGACTGGTGCATTGATTCTATCTTTGTGAATTTATTGCTTTACATACACATATTGCTCGAATCCTAGGATAAAGAGTTCCACAATCAAAATATAGCCTCTGATTAATTAGTGCTCTCTTTCTTGGGTTTTTTGGGTATAAGCTATCATCTTTACCATACGCAGTGGCTAAGTAGCAAGAGATTGCATGGCTATCCCAAATGGTGAGGTCACCATCCACAAGTGTTGGAACACAGTGCTGAGGGTTGATCTACAATAGAAATGAGTTAAATGAAAAGTTATTGGGCATTAAAAAAAAACTATGACCAATTTCCGAATAAATTCTGTTCTGGGCTACTTACCTTAATAAAGTCCTCCTTAAGTTGTTCTTTCTTGAATAAATCGACAATTTGTACATCTAAGTCCACTCCGACAGCTCTGGCAGATAGAAGAGCTCCTCTTGAGGGTGCACTTTTTGGAAAATGGTATAAAGTTATTGCCATATTGTTATTTTCAACTTTGCTTAATCGTACAAAACTAAATCTACTGCTGCTGCTTGAACTGACAACATTCAACGGTAAAGTCAGTTAAGTAGAGTAGGTCAGGTTATTAAAGACACATATTAGATTAAAGATTTGAACTGTCAGTTCAAAATTGTTCTCCAAAAACAACCACGAGTACAAGGTCGTCTACAGACAGCGAGAACCTCTAGCACGTACACTGTCACACTTTAGCATATGGCACATCAGCTCAGTATAGTTAATATCAGTCACAGTGTTTAAAAAATCTGTTCAAAATCTGTTTTTTCGTTAATCAGCTGTCGCTCCCATACGATCGACAACTCACAGAAGTTGAGAAACTTATGCGAGCTAAGGACTAACGAGGTCTTACCTTTAAACATGTGATTCCTAACCCGGTTGCAGAATCATCCCAGCTTCAACCAGATAAATTCTCTCGAGAAAAATATCTGGTCGAGACGGGAATCGAACTCACGGCCTTCCGATCGTGAGTCAGGAATACTACCACCGCGGCCAATTCCACAACATAGGGAACCCTGCTAAATGCGATATTTTAATTCACAATAGAACAAAATGTAATCACTAACCTAAATTAGCAACATTAGATACAGAAAATGCAACTGATATTAAAAAAAAAACATAAATTATTGAGTTTTTTAGTGGCGCACAGTCTTGTTAATATGCCGAATTCCAAGTGAAACATAAAATATGCTGTGTGTTACCTACTCAAATATATTTTTCTAATGTGTTTAACATTTCATTTTTATTGCATTTTTATGTACGGTAAAGTGCCATGAATGAATGTTTTTGTAAATGATACTTCACTATATATGCGAGAAAAGGCTCATAGATTTAATATTATGTCAAGTGCCAAGTAATAATATAACTAAATATGCGAGTTTTTTTTGGGAAGCTTCTGAAGACATCAGACAACACATAGTTTTGTAGTGTTTATTTTACCGAAGAGGCGGCATTTTAGGTTATTTGTTGAGATTAGTGAATTCAAGGCCAGACAAGAAAATCAAAACTCATCGTTTTTTTTATATAGAAATCACTTCAGATTATCCCAAGTCCAAAAGCTATTAACAGATGCATTGGAAAACAAAACTATCAGTTACGACAACTTTGGAAAGTGGAATACTTTCTCTGAAATTGTTAATACCTTCACCATGACTTTTTCACTCCAGACGAGTGTTGGCGTGGTCTGTCTGGTATTAATATTGATTGGTGAACCTAGGGAGACATAATTTCAACAGTAGAGACCGATCCTGGTTCAGGTAGTAGAAGAGCGCGTTTACTACCAGTATCGATATATTTCGAAATTGGATTATAAATATCGTATAATTATCAGTTTACAGTATGTAAGTGTCTACCTCGAGTATACATAAAAAACAAAAGCAATCATATCCATCCCTCATCTCATTAATAACATTTCGAAGCAACTCATTAGATAGAACTGTTAGAAACAAAATCCATTTTCCGCTAATAAATCAGAATAGGTACTTCTAACCTGACTTTTTGTAGGTAAACCAATATTTCCCTCTAACCAATATTACTGGATGATTATATATAATTCAAATGCGAGTAAAACGGGAAAGTAATTTTAAAGTGTCTCATATTCATTACCAACTCAAATGTGTCAAAGAGAGCAACATCCCAATTCACAGAGAACATCGCTACCAGAATTTAATTCAGACAGATCCGGTCAGTTAATCTGTCATATGAAAGGAGTTCAATTTTTCACGCAGACTACCAATCGATATACCTAAGTAAATTTACATATATCATCTACTTCTCTGAAGGAATGAGAAGGTAAAAATCGGAAAGAAGTAAGGTCACAAGATAGTAATATCACAGTTATATCACAGACATTAACGAAACCATGGAAGTTGAAAGCAAACCGATAAAAACATATATAAACGAAATGTTTTCAAATTATATACTATACACGATTTGTAACGATCCCGGTATCGGGATCATAGACACGTATTAACGGTGTTGGCGTGCTTCTCCGATCTTCTATTACAATAATCGAGCTCGAAAAAAAAATCATTTTCGAGTCGTTTCCTGAAATAACCAATATTTCTGTATCAGTTGTTTTTGAATTCGATGAGCGACTGTTGTAATATTATTTGGAAGCTTTTCAAAATGTTCTTTGAGTTAACAATAATGATTCATCTGACAACAGTGGATCTATTTCGCTCTTCGTTGTTCAATAGACAACTTACTTTACGAAATTGAGTAACATCAGTTGCATACGTTACGAAACCAACAAAATTTTTTAACGAAATCAAGTGGCGGTATTCGATTCAATTATTCCCCTGAATAATTTCTAACCCTCGAAGCTCGAATATCGTACATTCACACTGAAGACTTCGTAAAGAAAACAAAATTAAATTGTGCTGTGATTTACTATGTTTTCGAAGTTAATTAATATTTTATTACTGGTATACATCGGTAAGTTTATTATTTGAACTCTGTTTTGATACTTTCAAAGACTTTTGGTGTAGCTATTAATTATTATACTTTACGTATGAAGTTCACACCAATGAACAAAAAATCTAATATTTATGTGTCATGGAACACTTAGCAATATTTGAAAAGTTGATTTATTTTTTATATTTTCGTTTTTCAAAATGCATTTCTCAACATATATTAACCAACCTGTTTTATAAGCCATTCACAACAGATAATATATGAATATGCTCATTTGACATTAAATGAATATACTTTGAATATTCATATTTATGAGGTTCTAACATACACTGTGCGAACGATAAGGAGAGCCAGTATGAAAAAATTGGAAACTTTGAGAGATAAGAAGAAGAAGAGCTTATTCAAATGACATTTAAAATCTCACTACAGTCGCCAAAAAGGCTTCTTAGAACGGCTGATTTGTTTCCGATTATATATAAAAACGAAACGTTGAATCAGAAATCTGCCAGTGTCATCTTGTACAGCTTGAAAAGGGGCAATAAGAAAGTCTTTTTGATTTTTATCTATTACAATGCAATGACATTGCAACACTGCCTACAAGGGTCGCACTAATTACTTTTAGATTTTTTCCAACTTTCAACCGGAAATTCTGACTTACATTCAGAATTATATTCATCTACTTTCAACTCGAAAAATCCAACTTTCTTCTCTGAAATTACTACTTTCATTTTTCTCCTTTTCAACTCCGAAAAATGACTTTAAACTTAGAATTATAATTACCGATTTCTTACTGTAAAATTCCGATTATTATCTCAAAAATACAAACTTTGAAGACTGAATTTCAGAAATAAAAGCCGAAAAAATATAATCATTAGTTTAAAAATTTTCAAGACGGCATTTCCGGGTCAATATTAAAGACCACAAAATCTCGGCTGGTAGGCCGTCCTTGAATGGAACCTGAAATTCCAAACGTTTCCTCTGCTACTACATCATCAGTTGTATTGACTGCGAGGACGAATGTTATATTTCTAAGTGTCAGCAACGACTGGTTGTCACAAGTCAGTCGTTTGGTACTTTAGGTTCACTACCAGTCCACCTACCACCACTACCAGATTGTATTCTTTCTTATCGTGAAGACCTATCTATACTAATATTATAGATGTGAAAGTTTGTGAGGATGGATGAATGTATGTATGCATTTTGGGGCTCTTTCACGCCCAAACGACTGAACGCATTCAGTTGAAACTTTCCATAAATTCAGCTTGTACATCAGAATAACATATAGGTTACAATTTACAAAGGTTTTGTGTGATTTTGGTCATAATATAACGATAAGAATTAAGTAAGTCAGAAACATTTTTCCTCCCTCAGAGCTATCTTGGCGTGCGCTGCCTATACCGTTAAGAGTTACATGCAGATAATGTATAGTCGAAGTAACTGATATAGTAATTCTTAAAGCTATCGGCGAATATGTCGCTACGAATTTGTCCACGTGGACTGAAGAATTGGCGGTTCGTATTGGATAATTTTTACTAACCGAGTTTTATGATTGGCTGAAGAGTCATGAAATTAAATTTGAAGTCATCTTACGGTGACCAATAGAATGTAGCGATGAGTACCGTCGTTCTGTCGTCAACGTTCAGTTCAGGAACTGATCGCGATTTGAGTGTTGAAATTCGATATTGGTGAAGTTATTATTACTTAAAATTGTTATTTGTTTGAAATGCATACAGAGAGTATGTTTCAATGTATATAAGAATCTACATCTATCAAGTTTGGTTTCTAGGGAAAAAAACTATTACAAGCAACATTAGATTTGACCAAAATTCCTTTCTCAACTGTACGTAAAATAGTCTTAAACAAACCTTATGAACGCAAGATGCGATGTGATGCGGGATTACCAAATCTTTTAGATTTTCATCTAAGTTGATTTGGGGAAAATTGAAACCAAGCATCAAGCTTGAAAATAATTTTTCAAAATTTGATAAGAATGTGATAGAGCTAGTATCTAAGTATCTAATATTACTGAAGAAGATTGGCAGAAAAGGATCAAACAAGTAATTTTAGTTGAAAAATACTATATGGAGATGGGACACAATGGTGTTAATTAATTAATTATTGATTTGAATGACGACAGTGATAGTGAAACGGAGAATATGGAAGAGGAATTATCAGAATCTTTCGAAGAAAGAGAAGTGTTTTTGAAGCGATCGATTGTATAAAAATATGTGAGTAAGGAGTTAGCTTAGGTTAGGTCACAAGTGAGTGGGTCTATTCGACCCTCCACCGCAACCCGCAAGGGTTTATTGTGGTTCACACCTATTCAAGTGCGAATAAGTAGTATTCAGAAGTATTTTCAATCATCACTCTGTTATTAGAATCCAAAATATATTAGTGAACTCTTTTGAATAATATGTACGGCGTAACAATTTCTATCCAGTTGTCACCAACCACTAAATAGCCTCTGCTCAAAGCGCTTTTACTTGTTGATCGAATCAATCACACATGAAAGCGCTTTCACAGTGCCCTTTGAAGTATCTAATTTTACCTCGCACACACTCGTATCATCGACTTTACGTCTATTTCCATCAGACTGATTAATAATACAAACGTCAATAAAAAATCCATGAATATAGTGGATACGGCCATTTCAACAGAGCAAGGAACTCATTAGAAACGAAATAAGCTGCCAAGGTCCAGTGTGTAATTTCAAAGGTATTTTTACTTAGAATCTCACAATCGGTAATAAAATGGACTGTTTTGAATGAAAAATATTTCGTTCCTGGCCAGTCAATTTGAATTCCGACAAATTGGTTTCAAATTATTAGTGACTTCCTAATGGAGTCCCCCAGGGAATTGTGCTAGGTGCATTTATCTTTATTATTCATCTAAAGTACTATTTTCAATATATTTTTCCCCAACGACTCTATACTCTGGGTCATTGATCACACATAATTCAACAACAAACAGCAACGTATAGGAATGCAGGCACTCACGGGTGGGATCAATATTTTGATTGTTTCCGGGTTTTGCCCCCCCCCCCCCATGCCCCACCCGGGTTGATTGCCCTGAGTTGAAATCTTCCCCACACAGTTAATGTGTGCAGAACATCCCATCTCGTCCATCCAGCCACGCTCCCCCGGAGCGGACCTCAACTTACTGATGGGCACTTCAGCAAGGTTGACATCTGCCCTTCTTTGGTCGAAAGTCAGCCTCTAGGTGCTATCATTTTCTGATCTGTTGAATTGTTTTATCATGACTTTCCAAACTGAATTATTGCATGGGGTCCCCAAAAACTAGCTGGAGACGGGTGTCTTTTTAGTCGCGAGCAAGTGGTGGTTCTCAGTGAATCTGAAAATGAGATCAATTTAAAGTCTGGTTGAGAAATGTCTATACTTACCGGAGCCGCCTGACGACTCTCGGGAATGGTCTTTGGTTCTGCTTCGTTAGCATCCTGTGTTTGTCCCTCTCTCGAAATCTGGGGTCATCCCTGTTTAGTACGTTATGTAGGTCGCTTAGCGATGGGTTGTCGTACACTTGAATTCTGTCCTCTGCGTGTTTCCTCATGTATGCGTCCACGTAGTGTATGTTCAGGTCTAGATCCCCGAATATGTACCTATTCGGTACATATCTTGGAGCGTTTACGGCGGTCCTTACGCACGCGTTCATACATGACTGGATCTGTCTTCTGTATGTCGCTGGCAGTGCAGGCATACAGAATTATCGGTAGTATTACCGTCTTCATCATCAGCAGCTTCACTTTCAGTCCCATGTTGTTTCTTCGACCTATTATTGATAATAGCTTTCATTAACGCTGAACGTTAATCCTTTGTCTAGGTTGATCCCCAAGTATCTAGCTTCGTTGGTCCACGGAACCTCTTGTCCGTTGAAAATGACATTTTCTTCCGGGTGTACCCTCCTCCGGGTGAACAGTATTGCCTGACTCTTGTCAGGGTTTATACTGATCTTCCACAGGTTGGCCCATTCTTCTAATCTACCTGCCTGTTGCTGCAAGTATCTAGTGACGTGCGCTTGGTTTGTTGATCTCGCCAGCAGAACTGTGTCGTCCGCGTTAGAGCGCCAACTTGAAGTTGTTGAAGCTGAAGATGTTCTCCGGCTTGGGCACGTCTGCTGTGTATACCGAGAAGAGGTGTGGCGAAAGCACTGCACCTTGTGGGACCTCTCAGTAATCGCATCGTTGAGAGTTCTTGTCCTACTCTGCAGCGGCATCGCCTGTCGGCTAGAAAAGACTCGATTAATCTTACCATTGGTTTCGTGTAGCCAAAGTTGATCATTTTGGCCAGAAGTCCGTCATGCCAGACTCTGTTAAACGCCTTGGAGACGTCTAAGAAAATCGCTCCGGTATTTTGCCGTGGTCTTCTTTGGGTAAAATCTCCAAATGTTTTACTGCAACTGCGGCAGTCATTTTTAGTGATGTGGTCGAAGTACTCTTCTTGACGTATCAACTGAAACTCAAGTCACTAAAGATGACTGCCGCAATTGCAGTTGAAAAATGTGGAGATTGTAACCTCAGAAGACTACGGCAAAACCCGGAAACCAACTAAAACAAACAACAAAGTATTTCCATGAACAAACAGATGGCACTGCAATGGTCAGCCCGTCATATTCCGTCGGTAGCAAACTTTTTCATGTAAAAATTCCATCAATGTGGCTTGGAATGAGTGGCTATGAAACCACATAACTGGTTATGTTACGTTGATGAAGTTGTAAAGAGGAACTAAACTAAACAATGAGTCACAAACACTGTTTCAACCCAAAAATCATAGTAACAATGGAAAATGAAACTAAAGAAACAATCCCCAACTTGGATGTATGATTGTGAACAGACCTGAAGATGTATTATTGGGACACGAAGTATATAGGAAACCACCACATAAAGATAGGTATCTAAACAAATACTCCAATCACCACCAAAACCTTAGTTTTCGAACATCACAGTCTTCTTGGAAATAAGAATTGTCAGATATGTTTATGTTGGTGAAAGAATCATCGTTTTCAAAAACCCTTTTCCATACAAAGGTGATCTGCACTTCAACAAAAGGAGGAGTTGGACCACCGATGGCTTTGAAATATCCTTCAGAACGATTTTGTTCTATAGATACTTTGAAGTAAATGATCTCCTTGTTGGTGAGAACGGTAGCAGGTTGCTTAGTGTTAGCAGGGCCGTCGCCATAGGGGGGGATGGGGGAGCCTCCCCCCCTGATTTTTCGACTTGGGAAAAAGTTGGGAAATGTTGGGCCGTGAAGATAGAAAAAATAATAGTAGGAAACAATAAGCACAATATTATTTAAGTGTTGTTTCCTTTCCTTAGTATTGAATACTCCTATACATCGTGGATATGGTGGAAGACCAAGAACCTTGGTCCAAAGTAGAATAATTTCCATTAGCATTTGTATAATTACCAAAATTTATTTTTGTTTGTGCATACTCTAATGGACATAAGCATTCAGCCAATCTTTGGATAGCTACGTAAGAAAATTAATATATTATAGTAGTAACTAATCCCTCGACTTTCATATTTTCGAAAGTTCGGAAATTTTGCTGGTGGGGTTGGGAAAATTTGGATTCCCAACCCCCTTTGTTTTTTTTCACTACGGCCCTGCGTGTTAGTGAATCGTTCTAAAGAATTGTTATCATTACGCAAAGATTTATTGCTTCTTTTAGCCATCAGAAGCCCAAATTTCTTTATATTAATGATATCATCAGAAATATTTTCGTCTTCATTCTTGGGACCAAAATACATTTCATTGGTCCAAAACAAGGACTGTTCTCGAACACCAGAATTGCAATACTCTTCTCGATGCGCGTTTCACCAATCAAGTTGGCGTCTTCAGGAGATGAAATAGACTAATTCTTAACGATTAGACTGGTCTCTATTTATATCTCATAATTTCTGACACATATCAATGCTATCTGGTAGAAATTCGTAGGAAACGGATATGTGCTACGTGTTCTTTGAAACAAGTTTCAATGGCTCGCTTAGTCTGACCGATATAATTTTTGTCACAGATTATTTATTATATTCCGGACTTTTCATTTTCCAACATCTTTAGGTTTACCTAACATTTGTTGAAGTGAGGAAGAAGTTTTGAAGGGAAAAGTAATCTTAAAAGCGAGGGATATGTATTTAGAAGAACAACGGTCCAAGAATGAAGCCTTGCTGTACTCCAGACTCAAGATGCATGTTATCGGAACTATTTCCGTCTAGCTGTTTTCCTCTGTTTTCCAAATATCTAATTATATCAATGTTAGAGTTTCATTTGAAAAACCTATTCATCCGAGAATATTCATCAGTAGATTGGAATTGATGATATCGACTAAAGTTTCGTGAAAATAGCATCCTATTATATCTTTTGTCAACTGCTGTAGTCTAAAAATTTTGTTAGGTGAAGGTGAAACGTTCTCCAGTGACCTCTTATTTGAAGTTATACTACGGCAGTTATACTGCCAGAAGATTATTCTGAAAGTCGTTGAGAACAAAATAAAAATAAAACCAGTGGAACATATGTATATTAATATATAATAGAAAAGAAAATACATTTTTAACTCTCTGATGCCAAAAATTGGTAGGTCAAAGACACTGTAATCTTGGCCCAAAGATCTGGAGCATAGTACTGGAAAAAATAACTCATTAATAAACAAAATAAATCCGAATTCAAGAAAGAACTGAAAAATTGGCTCAGAAATTCTGATCGAACTCTGTTTCATCAAATTATTAATCAGCATACTTTCTAAAAAATAAAACCCCCTGTAGAAGGAACTCAATAAAAAGTACTTTATTTCAATCCCATCATGTTCTTATGTGTTTCATATTATGTATATAGTTTTTCAATTCATTATGCTAATTTATTTTCATCAGTTTATATCTATTCATTGTATTGTATTCAATTCATTATAGTTAACAGTTTATATCTATTCTATAGTTTAGAGTTTGGCAATGTCGCCCACAATTATTATTATACATCATTCATATCTCTAGATGTGTTAAATGCTGCTAAACTCATGAACAACATTTTTCAGCGCTCAGCGGAACCAACGCTGTCCAAATCAATTACCTTAAAGTTCCCATTGCCGTTAAGAACGACTCGAAATCTCCGGTGATTATGGATTGCAACTATTCCCTCCGCCCTGATGATACGGACCTGGTGGTGAAATGGTACCTCAACGATGACCTCGTCTACCAGTGGATCCCTCCTCAGAAACCACAGAGCTTCGGGCTCTTGAAAGATAGAATCGATCTGTCGTACGCAGCTACGGACGATCCTAGAAGCGTGTACAGGGCGATGAAAATAATTAACCCACTTACTGATGTCGCGGGGGAGTATAAATGCTTCGTGTCAACCTTTACAGATGAGGATTTTTCGATGAAGAACATGAAGGTTTTTGGTAGGAAAATTTTGGTACGCTCCCATGGGAGTTTGTGAATTGTTCATTCTTTATTTCAGTGGCTGAACAGGCTCTTGATGTTTTCAGAAGTGGATTTGATGAGACTTCCGTTAACTTTAGTTGTTCGGTGTCCGAAGTTTTTCCCAGTCCCAAGTTGTTGATGTATAAACATTATGAAGACGAGCATTACAGGTACGATATGTTTATATTCTTTTTTTACAAGACTCAAAATCCATAGAGATATTCAAGAGTGAATTTTATAACTGACGATGTGAATTTTATATCCTGACGATGCATTAGGAGATGCACGTAAAAGCATGAACCTTCTCCATGGACAAGTTGATGTGACAGAAACAAATGTATGCATAACAGTTGAGCTGACAAGTTCGTAGGCTAACATAGAAAATATTTTTTTACGATTTGTCTTTAGCTTCAATTTCAACGATTACCTCTTCAACGGAGCTACATTTCTTTCAGCGAGCATTCTCTCGAAGTCTGAGTACAGGAAAAAGTTACTGGGTGGTCAGATCTGGAGAATACGCTGGATGCGAAAGCAATTTGAAGCCCAATTCATGAAATTTTGCCATCGATTTCATTGATTTGTTATACGGTACATTGTCTTGATGAAACAGCACTTTCTGTTTCTTCGAACGGGGCTGTTTTCCGCGATTTCGTCCTTCAAGCTAACAAAAAATGTCTTACTCTAAATATTCTAACTCACAAACCAATAGTCCGACAGCTGTGAAATTTGTACACGTGTCTTTTGAAGGTTGTGTTAGGTCAGGTTAGGTCTAAAGTGAGTGGGTCTATTCAACCCTCCACAGCAACCCGCAGGATTTATTGTGACTCACACCTATTCACACTCGACCAAATAAACCCAGCTACTTAACGAAGCCGATTAGTTTGTATGGTAAGTTGTCTTTCAGATCAGAAGGTAAGAGTATGGCTCTGCCGAACTCTAAAAACCTGATTCGGACCCAGCGGGGCGGGCACAAAGTATGTGCTCTGCTGTTTCATCATTTTCCGAGTCTCCGCATATGATGATTCAAATGACAGTGACCTATAAGAAGGGTTGTTAGACATCGTAGTTCATCACTACTGTAGTTCAACAAATACTTGGTATCAAGAGTCGAAAGGTGAATAAACGCATTGGAGTGAGCCAATTCTCGAAGATTCTGCTAGAAGTCCATAACTCTTCTTGCATCAATGATTGTTTGGCGAAGCCTGAAGCGATACCAATGACAGGTTCTGGTCCGATGAAGTTGCTTGCAGCACCCTCCTTTGCAAGGAAGGCAGCAGCCTCATTGCCTTCCAGGCCAGTATGGCTAGGAATCCAGACCAGAGACAATCTGTTAAGTCTTCCTATCGAGGGGAGTCGTTTTTGGCAATTGCTACCAATTTAGACGTTGCTCGGTAGGAGCCAAGAGTTTCCAACGCCTCATGACTGTCCGAGAATATTTTTATTGACTTGTGTATGAGGCTGAATTTTTGCAATCTTTCTGCACACAATTCAATACCGTAAATTTACGCTTGAAATACAGTCGCATAGGTTCCTAGGCAGGTAAATATTTCTGTCCTGGGTCTGTGACTGAAAACACCCACACCAGAACCGGAAAATGTTTTTGATCCATCTGTGAACCTACAACTATCTGCTCTTAATATTTCCTCCTCTCGGAGGATCCAGTCCTCTCTACTCGGAAACAGTACTTCATTAGGCAGTTCGTAGTTGACAGTTGGAGGCATAAAGTCAGAGGTCATTTCTAGAATGCTGTGACTTCCAGTGTCAACCTACAGTCTGTTGCACTCTGCATAAAATTGATTTGTGCAATTGGCAATGTGCACAAGTCTGTATGCAGTTCATCTAGCCTCTCTCTCCAGAAAAATATGGAAAGGAGTTAGATCTAGGAGGATCTCCATAGCCGCTGACGCTGTGGCACTGAAGGTAACACTGATAGCCAGAGAAGCCTATCTCTGCAAGTCAGAAAGCTTCGCCTGGGCCGTTTTCTATAAAGCTTTCGGCCACCAGGCAGTTGCACCATCATTGTTCTGACAATCATCACATAAATCCAATGGATTTGTTTGGAACCTGAACCCCAAGTTTTACCACAAGTCCTTCGACATGTCCATAAAGACAGTCTGGCTTCGTGTAAAACTTTTTCCAACTGAGCGTTCCAGGTGAGTCTTTTATCAAGGACAATGCCAAGGTATTTCACCTCCGTCCCAACTGAAATGACCTCACCATTGAGGAAAAGTGTCGTTAGATCGTCTAATTTTGTCCTCCTGGTGTCGGGGATTATCACAGTTTTGCTGGGGTTGACAGACATCGGTTCCCTCAGGAACCAACTGTGAATAACGTCCAACGTTCTTTGGAGGATATTATAAGCTACCTTTTCTGACGTGGACCTTGCCAAGATGACAAGGTCGTCTGCATAAGCTTGCAAACCTACTTTTCTTCTGTCGAGGGCTTCAAGCAGACTATCCATCAGGAGCGTCCACAGAAGGGGAGATAGTACCTCACCTTGAGGGCAGCCTCTGGTGACCCTGAACCTAATGGCCTCGCCTTGAAAAGTCGTAGTTGCAGTTCTGTTTACCAGCACGGCATAGATTCAGCCAGTTATGGTCGATTCTAATATGTGTGATTGTGAAGTCAGGTATATGTAGAATAGAGTGTGGCGAATGCTCTACAGTATATACAGGCCAAACCGGTAGACATTTTGAAATAAGACTGCGTGAACACGTCTGTTTGGACAGAAAATCTGCAATGTACGAACATCTTCAAGAATCAAACCACAAGATAAATGAAGATAAACTCAAAATCCTACATATATGTAAAAAAGGGAGAAAAATGAATCTGTTCGAGGCCATAAAAATTAACCAATCAACCAGACCAACCAGACCAACTAGACCAACCAAAAAAACCAGAAACATATATCCCTAAACGAGCAACTTGATTTATGTAGGCCTCCTCTCTCGAATTTATGAGTTTAACAACCCCTAGAATTTTCCGGATGGTATTTTAAGTTAGCATCCTCTCTCTTAAATACCTGTCGTTGCAGCATACCTAAACATTATATAAAATCGATGTTTCAAAATTCAGATTTCAGTTTTATACTTGGTGATGGGATCAAATCCGAAACCGGTATAAATAAAATTTTCCAGTGGTATTTAGACAAAAGTGTTTTTATTCATTAAAATTGTCGATTCTATATCTTTCCTAGCCAGCGACGATCCTACAGATTTAGGTAGTGCATTATCAAATGCTCTTTTAATATCAAAAAATACAGCAATACTACAATACAACAGGTTAGGGTTAACTGAAAATCATATGGATTCAGTACTAGTAGCGTTATCTGTGTGTTAGCCTACTAACTTTTTAGCCCACCTAATATATGTTCTGATTCTGTGCCAAGAAGGATTAGATCGCTAGTAGTTGACTTTATCAGTCAAAATTGGAAATGTACCTATCCATTACCTATATTCGATTTCTGAATGGAAACTTTCAGATATATACTTCCATTTATTCAGTAAATTATCTCTGAATTATTCACCTAATAATTTTTGTATACACAATATATGGTAATGATCAATGCATTTGTTTGATAACTTTTCAGGGATAGAATACCAACGGTTCAATGGGATATCAGCAAACACACTTCCGGGAGGTATTCCTTATATATTATTGCTACTGCTCCGAGAGAAACACTGAAACTGGGTTCTATGATTCGTTGTGAATTACGGATTCCTGGAACTGGTTACGTCAAAATCAAAAGTCTTCTCTATTACCCGGAAGGTAAGTACAAATAAGTATTGTATTAAGTTTGAATAAAAATACTCAGGTTTTTGGGTAACTACTTCGAAAAATTGTAAAAAGTAGTTCTCGAAAAGCTACTCAAAAGTATTGTTATGCCCTTGGCTAAGTCACCAACGCGATGAGTGAATGATCTGCCACTGGACCAGTGGAACAGATTTAGCGAGGAAGAGTCTAGTAGTCACTGTGCATGAATTTAACTAGCGTCGAAATAATCTTCGAGAAGGAATTTGTGTTCAAGTAGATGATTAGTCATCTTAGGGGGGAAAAATTCCGAAGAATGTCCTCGAGAGTTTCACTGTTGCTTTTTTTCGAAACAGTTTAGAAATTTGGAGATCAGTTCAGGTGATTTAGTTAAATGTTGGTGAGCGACAGTAAACAAGTTAAATATGTGAGATAATTGTAAAGAGAGAAGGAAGTATACCATTGTAGATTATATTTCAAGTAATTTATTGAAGATATTAATCTGTTAGCTGAGTCACTCGTCAAGAACTCACGGATACCTAACATTGATGACAGCGGTAGGATTTTTTCTTAATCATTTTACTTGATATGCCTGAATTAACCGGTGAAACTTGAAAATACTCCTTCAACTTCACAGCGAGGTAGGAAACATCTCGAAAACTCTTCATTTTCATAATTTGACCTTGCTTTTCATCAGCCAGATGAGAAATTGCTTTTTTACGAAGATTCTGTCTATATGATCGATAATATTTTCCATGAAGATTCTATTGGGTCTCTTTGACTGAATGAAAGTAATGTATTTGAGTGCACATGGATTATTTTGCTTTGCATTAACTCAACTCAACAATAAAGGTGGATATCAAATTTCAACAGAGTTCTGTATTTGTATCTGTAGGTGAGGGTGCGTGTAGACCCACAGCACTTAGGCCACATGTCACCCATTGTACATCCTCCCGAGGAGTTGTCCTCCTAGGTCATCGTCTATCATGTCCTTTCCAGGAAGGTGGACAGGTCACTAGGAGACATCTCCTTTATATTGGCAGGGGTAGGCCAAGACTCGCCCAACACACACTCTCTTTGGCTACCTTGAGGTGTTTTACGGTGGCTTCCGCGAAGGTTTTGGAAGGTGCAGCAACATTACTGTCGTTGCACGGCTTCTTCAACCTTCTTGAGGTTCCCTCCTTGGAGGTGCACAAGTGAGAGAGCTTTCCTGCAGGGGCAGCCGGTTCCTTGCCTTTATTCAAGGCGGAGCTCTTGGCGCCCGCCGCAGGAAGTGTCCTTGCCCTTGGAGGTGGAGTGGGGGAGGATGAGGGTGCACTTATAGTTGCTGCTACTCCTGTCTCCTTCGCCCTCTTTCTCCTTTTAGCTATGGTGCCGCAAATACCCTTATGCCTTGACCTTTGTATTACATCACGAGGTGATCTGCTATGTTCAGCCTCATTCCAAACGGTAGATTGGGGTGGACATTTCTGTTCATCCCTAGCCACCGCCCTAGATTGAGGTGAGCACTTCTGTTCCGCCTTGGGATTAGTTTTTGTTTTTTAATAGAGTTAGATTACTGTGATAAAATTCAAAAAAGGTAACACTCCAAAGTAGAAAACCGCCACGCAGATTTTTTTCCGAAAAACTGAGAAAGTCAAAAACTATGTCCCATCTTGCTAAATATTTATTCCTATTTGATTCCCCAAATTAAATCTTTCTTCTGGCAGGGCCTTAGTTGCACAACTGCACTCCTACATGTCGCTGATGATGTAGTAGTAGCCACTGATAACGGTTATTGTATCCTTTTAGTGTTACTTGATTTTCCTTGATCAAAGGATTCTCATGGTTATTTATGTGGGGCTGACAGAAAATTCATATAAGATCTTGGAAAATCATTTACTAGAAAGGATTCAAAAGGTTCATGTAGGAAATAGACGATCAACTGACGAAATATTTCATCAACTGGGGTGCCACAGAGGTCATTTCTTGGTCCACAGCTATTTAGTACTTGTACTACAATCGTTATTAAATGTATCAGCATATTCTGCCTCATAAAGTCAAAATTACATTGTGGGAGGAATTGATTTTTTCCTTGTTAAATTATGTTCAATTATGGCCCAAATTTAACAATCGAGTATCAAGAAACGACGCCTATATGTTTTCCGAAGGTTGAAAGATACAAGGGGACACTAACACTACCTTCATTTCATACTGAATCAATGTTTAACCTCCGGACTTCAAAATATGTAAAGCTCAGCTCAAAAAATATATTTTCAATCTCCCATGAATACTAATAGTATAGTTGAAATAGTCCTATAATTGTGAAATAGAATTGGTAAAAATAGTGACTCTGGAGAATTGGCCGCGGTGGTAGTGCGCCCGACTCACGATCGGAAAGCCGTGGGTTCGATTCTCGCCTCGACCAGATAATTTTCTCGAAAGAATTCATCTGGTTGAAGCTGGGATGATTCTGCAACCGTGTTAGGAATTACACGTTAAAATGTACAAGTTTCTCAACTTCTGAGAGGCGACAGCTGATTAACGGAAAAACAGATTTCAAACAGATTTTTTTTTAACATAATGGGAAAATCTTTTTGAAGGTGAAATTGTCAGGTCCTCTGACATTAAAACATCTAAAAACCGTAAACCATTAGATTTGAAATATTTCTGATGAATTTTAGAAGCCATAAATCCTCTTTGTGAAAACTATTGTAAGAAAACAACAATAACTCCAATTATTTTGAAACTAATAATGCAAGACTCATCTATTAATGAAAGTTGTTACTAACGTTCTCTCCAGGGAGAAACAATTTTTTTCAACAGGTTCATCTCGATATATTAAAAATTCTTTGGTAAGCATTGTTTCACTCATGTATATCAAAGATATTCTGATTTTCAGGAAATACTCTCATCTTTCGAAACTCATCGACAGTTTGGTGGCTGATCTATTGTTCCAGTATTCATATTGTTTTCTATTGGTTCAACACAATATCACACTATGCGATCAGTAAAATATAGAATATTTTTCAGTATTTCCATAATTATATGAATAATGATCTCTTGCAATGAAAATTCATCCCTGAGTCTGTATGGATAAAATTATTGAACTTTTCACAATTTCAAAGATATCTGTATTAAAAAATTATCTAGTTTCCTTAAAGAAAATATTTTTTCCAATATCTCTAGGTAGTTTTCCATTCTTTTTGAAAATTTCATGAGGAGTAGGATTTCAAAAAGCATGCGAATTTCCTCAGATTCACTAGAATCGGAGATGAGTCACTTATTCTCTGGATGGCTATACTAATTTTACTGAATGAGGAAAGATGTAGTTCTTGAATCATGGGTTTCTTTTTGCTGCTTTCATTAGAGGTAAGATTCAGCACCAGAACCCAAAAAATATCAACAGTTATGAGGCAATAGTTTTGACTTTCACAGAAGTAGATAGTAGATGGCATGCTGCTAAAGTAAGGACAAGCAAAGTCCCAACAACTGACTTATTGTCCTTCCATGGAAGGACGTGTTCATTTTTCATCGTCTCGATTTACAACCATTCTCTATCTCATTAGTTCGGACTTTCATTGTCTGATATATGAAATGATTTGAAATCCCTGAAAGAACTAATAGAAAAGAAGAATTGAAAAGGAATAGGTGAAAATAACAAATATATTAGGCAAAAAACTGATATGAAATAGCAGTAAAATAAAATACAAGTGAAAATAGAACAATTGAACAAAAATGAAAAATAAAAAGTTGAGAGATTTCAAGCCAAGTTACTTCACGACTTTTCAATTGTTAGTATCCACAATCGTCTTCGGGTGGACTTATTCCTCCGAGATCTGACTAAAGGTCATTCGAGTGCTTTCATCTATCCCCTCTCCTCTTTCCGCTTCATTGGTTTTGACGGGATATGACCGTTTGGCGGGAGTTAGTCGTGTTCCGCTTGATTAGAGGTTTCCATATGTTACGTATCTCTACGATAGCTTGGCTAAATGCGTTGTTGGACAACATATATGCGGCTTCTTTGAATTTCCTCCTAAACCAATGTTCCTCCCTGTATGATCTCAGCTTGGAACCATTCGATGGTTCTGGTTTCCCCTCGCTGTGTGTGTTTCTTGAGCTCAGCAATGCGAACATTCAATGGCCTCTTAGTTTCACCGATATAGGATTTTCCGCACTCACAGGGTATCCGGTAAATGCAATTTTTGGAATCTCAGTCCGCGTTTGATGGCCTGGTTTTCGTGAGGCTGCTACGGATAGTGTTTCCGGATCTGAAGCAGGCTAAATCCACAACTGATCTCAAAACTCTTCCATCAATGTCATCAATTTCTGAAGGTGTTTTTGAGGTAGTTCTCGTTAGCATTGTTCTCAATTCATCTGGCGTTACAGGCGTCAGAAAAAAGCTAACAGGAGTAGTGTTCATTTTTTGTTTTTAGTGGAGCTTTAGCTAATTTTTGGGAGGTTAGTAAAATAATTGTTGATATAATTAAATTTATTCAGTTCATCTCTAATAGGTTCTCCATTCTAATTACGTATGTCAGGAAATGGTTTCTTATTAACTTTGTTACTGTTTTCATTGATTATTTTACAACTGTCACGTGCATTATTGGACTTTTTTATTCTAGCGTCATTGATCTGTTCTGATACATTTTCACAGTCTTTTGATAACTTTTTTTAAATTCCTTATTTTGAGAGGTATAGAACTTGTTATTTATTTGCTTTTCAATTTTTTTTATTTCGCACAGCTGGCTATGCATGTTGGTGAAAACCACTTTTTCGATGTTGTTTTCATCTTAACTTTCATTATAGGAAAAGAACAGTTGTAATGATGAAGACATATAAAATGTCGGTTTTAGTTTTTTTTAATCCTTTTTGATGCAGATTACTGTGAGGAACAAAATGAAGATTCATGCAATGACTATTTACAAAAAATTGCAATATGTTATGAAACATGGGGTAATGAAAAAAAAATAAATGGAAAGGGGGGTTTTGCGACATATCTTTTTGAAACTCCTGACAAATGCTTCACAACCCTAAAA